TAGCCAACCGTATCGGCATTTATGCGTATGAATATATTTTACACGGACAATTGAATATTGTCAAATAAATTAAATCGTTTAATAATTCTGCGGCCCGCTTGAAAAATAAAAATAAAGCAGCTGATGACGCGTATCGCGTTTGTACATATGAATATCTCTTATTCAGATGACTGAACATCAAAAGAGAATCATTCAGTATTTTAAATCTTGTATGTAATGCAGGCTGTCGATCAAGTAATGCCCTAATTGTTTCGAGCAATGTATTTTATTCAACGTCACAAACACACACATGCAAGAATCTATTTGCAATTCGCATTGACTCGAACGATATTTTTTAGTCCCACATCCGTCATGCAGAATTTTGTTTCTCTTTTTATTTTGACTCACCGAAACGACTTGCAGTGAGAGCCGGCCACGTTCCGCTTCAACTCTGTAACAAAACATTCACATTCGCTCATCAGATTTGTACCAACGAGTGCGGGCGAGTAAAAGAGTAGTTTACCCTCTGCGATCGTAATTCAAGTCGAGCCAGAAATTATATCCCAACTCTAGATCGTCAAAGGTCAAACAGAGGACTATAGTAAACTTGTAAACTTACCTTCAAGCCGACTCTGCTTGGCCCGAACCGGATCCTCCGGTGCGGCATCCGCGTTCGCCAGAATGCTGTTGCTTTCCGCAACAACTGAAACAGAAAAATAATTTTCCCAGTTAATAATCTGCGGGAGAGAGAAAATATCTCTGATCGGGACGAATCGAAAATACGGAAATATTTTGATACGGAATTTTTATCTTTACATTTTTGTTCCAATATTGAAAATTTAAATGAGACATGAAGCTTTCAAGAGAGCTGATGAGGAACAAGTTGCAAAGGCAAAGATTGTAAAGGGTTGAACACAGCTGTGTAGGAAACTTGTAAACTTTACCTTCCGGCCGACCCTGCTGTGCCCGAACCGGATCCTCCGGTGCGGCATCCGCGTCCGCTGGACTTGCTTCTCGCAACGTCTAAAACGAAAATTTAGCGTTCTTGGTTGGTAAGCTGCGGTAGAGAAAGAATGTTTGGTCGGGATGAGTGGAGGATATTCACTACGGTTTTTTTTCTTTATTGACATTGAAAGTCTAGATAAGACTTGGAGCTCTTGAAAGAGCTGACGAAAAAAAGATGACAACAAGAAGCGGAGACAACAGTTGTGTGCTCTCGAAAATACTCTTTTACGAATGGGCATTTAAATTTAAATCCCGTAACGAGAGTAAACAGACTTGAAAGAAGCGCTGACCGAAAACAAAAAGGTCACAGTCTAAGAAGCGATATGACGTTGAATAATATTCTACACAAGACCGGTATATTCATACAGTTCGGAATTATTCAGAATGTTTAATTGAGGACATAATGAATTAGAGATCCGCGTTCATGGACCGTTACCAGTCTCTGGCTGAATCAATATATCTCTTGTATACAACAACGCAATAAATAGACAGACAGAGATTGACGAGAGTAATTGCAAATTGCTGCATAAAGTCATGATTACTCGGATTAGTCGGATAATGACGGATTGTGAATGCCGAGCGCGAAATTCCGACTTCTTGTTCCCGGAAAATTCGTCAAACGTCCGCTCTCGTTATCGGAGACCTCCCACATAATAAATGATTCCACATACCTGGAAACGTATCGGTGCCGGCGTCCTGCTTCCCGGCTGCTGGAGTCCTCCGGATTGCACTCACTCACGCTTCTAATGCTGATACTCGCGATTCGATCGTGCGGTTAATCAACGCGACGCCGACGCGATGCCGATTGAGTATCTCGAGGACCGACGAGATACATTTCTTTGAATTACACGAGACGGAAGTGACGAGCGCGTCGCGCACGGCTGCTGTTGATGGAATGAGATCGAATACACGAGGTGCGCGAGTATTATAATACGAAGGGCAAAAAGTGTCGTCGCTCGCGAGCCGATCAACACAATCGGCTCGCGATGTAAACATTGCGGGCCCGCGTTGAGGCGAGAGAGACTTGCCCTTGGGCGTCTTTTCTCTTTCTTTTCTCGAAGGTTCCGGGACGACGAGGAGAATGCGAGGAGGCCTTTCAACTGTACGCGACATTGATTTACCATTTATTGATTACTGAAAATAATTTATTGATTACTGAAAATAAAGAAAATTATTCTGTCGAAGCATCGGACATTTGTTAGCTTTATGTTAATTAAAGAGGAATGTGTACGATTAGAAAATGTATTAGCAACTAATTGTACAGAGTGTCAAAGTTGTTGTGACGCCGTTTTCGGAGAATAATTAAAGGTCATGATAGCGTTAAAGAGTGAAATTTCATCCCATGCGAATTTTGTCTCGTTCTTATTAAATGTTAGATTATCCGCTGCGGACAATAAAACTCTTCTACTTTTCACCTAATATTCAATGATGATGAATAACATTTAATTGCATTCGTTTGGCTCTTTTTGTTTCGAAAATAAAAAAGATATATACCAGGGTGAGATTTCACCCATGACAACATCAACGTGATTTTCTTTGATACTTTTTTTAAAAGTTCAAATATTTCGTTGACTCGCGGGATACTTACAATCGGAGTCTCGTCGCGTTAATTAACATGTGCTCCTCCGAGCGGATCGAATGCTCACCGACGGCCATTGTCAGTGCCACGAGCGAATGTCCGGAGCGGACGGGATGCTGAATTGAGAAGCAGGAACGAAGAAGGGAACGGGACGCGGGCAACGATACATCATGCGTCTCCAGACGTATCAAATTATTTATTATTATAGGAGATTTTGATACAGCAACATGTATGTAGAGGATTTAATATTTAATATGTATTTAATATGTACTTTTATTTTTCCTGCTCCCCCCTTCCCGCTCTTTTCAGACCTTCGGGCATAGTCTGGCATAGAGATAGTAACTATGATTGCAGCACGGACATAAATCGCCTGAAAGTGGATGTAGCACGGACTTCCACCACATGCAGATTTTACCACCAAGACCTAAAAGTGGATGTAGCATCGTAGTTCTCCTCTCAAAATGGATGCAGATGGCGCCCATTTCCGGTGCGAAAAATCGGTGTCGCCGAAAACGCCGTGTTGGCCGCTCTCAGCTTCCTCTCTGCTTTAGTAAAAAATTGAGAACGTGATAAGAGTCAACTATAAGTCAAACGAATCTTACTTACCGAACAGTAAAACTTGAATAATAAAATAAAGTAATAATAAAATTTGTAATAATAAAATGTAATAACATCTAATTCAAAGATCTAAGTCAAAAATTAATATGCTGATTTGAAACATAATGCAAAAAGCTCGAAAATAAATACGAAGCAGAGAAGAGATTAACAATGAATGATTATTATTTAATATGCAACTTACATTAACATGGAATGTCTAATTGACTTAATGTCTCGAAGCTACTGAATATGAATTTCTGCTCAAATCTCTTCCTTTCTGTAGGAGGTTTTTAGCTGTTTCGGTTACTTTCCTCTACATTTATATTGATGAGTTGAAACACTTGTTTCTACGAGATGTTTAAAATTCAGCTGACTTTATGAGTGTTAACACTCGTAACTGGACCTAAGTAAGACTTACGTTTAAGCGAATGTTCTCTTGAAACTGAAAACATTAATAATAATAATAATGATAATTATATTTCTATTTATCTTTTTTTCTATACTATCTAACTATCTATCTATTTCTCTATATCTATCTATCCATCTATCTATTTATCTATCTATCTATCTATCTGTCTATCTATTTATCCATCTATATCTATCTATCTATCTATCTATCTATTTATCCATCTATCTTTTTTCTTCCTATGTATCATTGCAACCTATCTTGTTCTATCCATATTTCTTGCAAATGCAAACAATTAATATTACATTAATTTTTATATTAAAATATATTTTTTATACTATAACATGCTGAATTAATAATTAATAAAATTCAACAGGTTATACTATAAAAACAAACACTTACGTAAAAAAATTATTATATTATTAAAAAGTTTGCATTTATTTTTTGACGGAGATCACCATTTTCTCGCGGTTTCTGTCGAGCAACAATATGCACGTTATCTATTCGTAAAATTAAATAATAAAGTCGTAATTGAAATATGATAATAAAACTAATTTCTTTTTTTACTAGACTAAATTTATTTTTGCTACGAAAAGAAAAATGTAACAATGGAATATCTTTTACAAAACAAATAACATTTAATTTAATTTTTAATTAAAATTTATTAGCATAAATAAATTATTCTGTCATATACTTTAATAACAAATCATTTTTAAAAGATGTATATATTGGCTAAGAGTGGATTTCTATTAATTTTTCGTCTCTCATTATAATTCTCTCTTCTTTATTTGTGCATTAATACTAAATATTCTTTATATACATATACACTATATATGTGTCATTTATTTATATATATATTGTCATGTAATTAATATATTTAATCAAGCCGTAAGAACACGAGAAGAGAGGAAGTGCGAGCAAGTGCGCGAGAGAGAGAAAGAACGAGCGTGAGAGAGAAAGAGCGAGGTATAGGAGTAGCGAAAAAAATCTCGCGGCTCACGCAGTCAATAAGCTAGACGAGCGGGAAAGAAACAGATAATATGTCGACGCTCGTCTAGTCTCCCATGTGCTACCTCGCGTGCGTGAAAAATAATTCCTCGCTTCGCACGTTCCCTTGACACGAGACGCTACCGCGTCTTTTGATGTCTCTGGAGCGTGAAAGATGAAAAAAAAACGGAGAGATGTTCGCTTAGCGATAAGATCGCCGCTACCTCGTCTCGTGTTTACTGCCGCGCGCCGCTCAGTAGTGAGACAAAAACGGAACGATTGTCTGTCGTCTGTCTTTTTCTAATCTACTATCCATTGTATGGAAGTAGTACGGACACGAACCTAGGCGCATTTTAGTTTTATCACCGCGAAAGTGCGCCTAGCGGACGTAGTTTAGGCGCATTTTGGTCAGATGGCGTATCTAAAATGCGCCTAGCCGTCCCCCGAAATACGGCCGGTGGCCGCTCTCATTTTTCTCTCTGATTATAACCAGGAGAAATGGATTATAAAGTACGTTGTCGTCAGACGATTATTGCGGAAACGAGTGACTTTAAAGACAATTATGCTCATGATATTCAGATGTATGATGTGCCACCAATGGGTGAAATGTCATTGGAGGATTTTCAAGAGTTGGGATTTGACAGATTGAAAGGTATGCGATACTCTGGGCCCTTAAGTCATATACTGTATTAGAATTGTAATACAAGTGCAACTCCATTGCAGTACTACGTCTGATAGAGACAACAAATTGCAGAGGCGACTTGAAAACATTGGAGGATCGCAAAAAAGCTCTATATGATTCTTTGAAAAGTGATGGGCTGAAGTACTATGCGAATCTTTTGTTTGCTGATGGATCCAACTCACAATCCGAAGAACACTCACTGAGCAGAATGAAGGATCATATATCTCATTTTATTTTGAGACTTGTATATTGCCATGATCCAGAACAAAGTAAATGGTTTATGAATCAAGAAGTTGAATTCTTCAAGTTAAGATTTAGCTCGTTGGATAAGAAGGGTGTTGAACACTTGTTAAGCATCAACAACTTGGATTGTATACCAGTATGTCAAATTATAATGTACTTGATAAGGTTACAAGGTGCAAAATTATTTATCTTTGAATATATATCTTCAGATCTCGCTAGATGAAAAACTAGATTTGGTGGAAGAGCTTACTTCTTCATCAGGAAAGGTTACAAATATTGATATCATTGATATTTATAAAGTGAATTTTGAAAAAGTCATTGATTTAGTCAGAGGACGTAAAATATATCTCAAAGCAGGAATGGCTTATATCACCCATATGGACATAATCTCTGTATTTGTTTCATATTTTAGAGAAATTCTAGTTGCAGGACTAGAGGTATAAATCTCTTCCCATGATATTCCATCATTTCCATAGCACTTGTATAGTTTAAAACAGAGAAATTGAATTATACTCAATTGATTCTTGGTTTATGTTCTTTGCAGAGCGCAAAGAGCATGTATTATAACATATCTGATGATGAACGACTAACCAGATACCTGACAGGTCTTCCTTCAGCCTTCTCAGGGATGGCACGTGTCGTATGGTCGACCACAGCAACACCTATTGATAAACTAAATGATGTATGTATTGATTATCACTCTAATTGAAAATCTAATCCAAATCTTCATTGCTTTTGTTCTTTTTGTTTGATACATAAGCATTATAAACAAATTTTCAGTTGTCGAAATCGTCTTATCCTTTGTGCATGAGAACACTTCACGAGGCACTTTGCAATAATAGTCATCTAAAAAATTCAGGACGCATGCAGTATGGCTTATTCCTAAAAGGCATAGGTGTGACCTTGGAAGATGCTCTGCGTTTCTGGAGTCACGCATTCGCCAAGAAGATCGATGGAGTCGCGTTTGAGAAGAAATATGCGTACTCTATCAGGCATTATTTTGGTAAAGAGGGAAGACAAACGAATTATACGCCGTATGGCTGTCAGAAAATCATATCCAGTGCAGTCGGACCTGGAGAATATCATGGGTGTCCTTTTAGACACATGGATCGCGACTCGCTGTGCCAAAAGTTAACTAGTTATGGCATATTCGCCACTAGTAAGAGAATTAGTCTTTTCTTGTCTTTAAAAAGAACAATACACTGTTTGGACACTCAACTTACAATCAATAATGTACATTAGATACAACGGAGATATTGGACTTGGCCAAAGATGGACAATATCATTTAGCGTGCGCGAAGTACTTTGAAGTTGTGCATAACAAACCAGCCAGCAAGCCTCTTCTGCATCCAAATGCATACTTTGCTGAAAGTCGCGTAATTTTAACCGAAGACGATGATGCTAACAAAGGTAAAGGAAGAAAAGGAAATGGAAACTCTGGAAAAAAAAATAAACACAACACAGCGTTTATTTCATCACATACACATCATTTTTTCTTTTTTTTCAGACATAGATAAAGATAGATTCCCTCAAGGTACAACTGGAACTCCCAGTAATGGATCTTCAAGAAGGAACGACAGGTATTCGACACCTTCTAGAAACACAGACTTCACCGGCACACCAAAGAGAAACGACAGATACTCCACGCCGTCGAGAAATGCAGACGGTACAAACACACCTCTGAGAAAAGTTCAAAGAACGAATTACCAGACACCTTCGCGAGACATCAAAATGACTCCGGTGAATATCGCGGAGCTGCTGAACGACGACGATCTCGCGGAGTTCATGAACACGGAGTGAATAACAGTCAATGGATGACTACCTTTATACCGTCATGTAATAAGAATTTATTTATATTCCGCAGATTTGATCCACATGAAAGTTCAGCGTTTAAAATTAAGTCAAATAATGTGAAATAAATATTGCATTTGTTATTTGTAAGTACACGCTTACAATGCTGATTGTACAATGATACTAGCGGTTGATCTGTTTCAACTGTCTTAATTTCGGCAGATGATTCACGTTGACATCCCGCACCATCGATTCCACCAGCCTCTCCAAGTTGTACTTGTGTTGCCAGCCCCAGTCCCGTCGCGCCTCACTGTCGTCGAAGACCTGCGGCCAGTCCTCGGCTGGAAAAAAAACGGATAACGACGACATTTCCCATTTGATATATCCTCTCCTCCAATACTTCCTCTCTCATTGAGCGCGCGATAACATTACGCGGGATATATAAAGTGCACTTACCGATGTGTTGTCGCGCGTCTGGCTTGTAAGAGATCTTCAAGTCCGGAATATACTTGAGAACTTCGTTGAACAGCTCCTCAGGCGTGAAGCTCATGGCTGTGACATTGTACACCCGCCTTTGCAATAGCTCGTTAGGCGTGTTAAGAAATTGCAAGAGCGCTGACAGACAGTCCTCGATGTACATCATTGGTAGCCTGGTATTGGGCTCCAAGTAGCACTCGTATCTTTTATTTAACAGTCCTTCGTGGAACACCGCTACGGCATAATCTGCGATAATAGATGGATATTTTAAAATAGATATTTTAACGAGGGAAATCAAATCTTTCAAAAAAAAAAGTAAGATTAAAAATACATTTCAATCACAGTTCACATCATTCGCGGAAGAAGTCGCTAGTCTCTTTAACGACTTTTCAACTCGTTTTCTCTTTGGACTTTGGATTATTAAAATGAAGTCGGCGATATTTTCAACTTTTGAAACAAATTTTCCACTCTTAAACGCCGACTGAGATCTACAAGCTATTTTTCCTCATTAATATACTCGGTAATTATTCGGTAATTATACGAAAATTACTGTTTTTCTCGGATGAACATGAGACATGAGATGAGACATGAGGTTTTACCGACTGCTTTATGCATCAGAAGCTGAGGAAAATGCAAAAGTCGACCTCACGAACCGACGATCAAGGCTCGCCGCATTATTTGCCGGTAGCATTGTCCTTGAGAGAGACGATATATTCCGTCATTATGTAGTTACCTTAATCGCGGTTAGTGCTCCAGTTATTCGCGAAACGGGAGCCTACCTCCTCGCGACTCAAAGTGCACACATTGAAAGAGAAAGAAAAAAGGAGAAGGAGAAGAAAAAGAAGAAAAAGAAGAAAAGAAGAAGAAATAGCTCTATCAATTTTCAGTTGTCTGCCTATTTCCGTGGAAACCGTAGCGCGACATTAAGCGCTCCTCGAACACGAAGACGATCATCTCGCTTGCGTCAGGTTCAAGAAATTCCGCGAAACTCCTTCCGTGACAACGCGAACGCTCAGGACATAAAAGAAAAGAAGGTGCGTGATCATAATCGTACGAGAAAGAGAAAGAAGCGCGCATATACGGCGCGAGAAATCGAGTTTATGGAGAAATCCTTATGAGAAGGATAAAACTAATATGTAGACAGTCTGACGCCCGAATAGTTCAGAGAAATTAAAGATTATAGGCAATTTGTAATTGCCTATAGTAGGATAAATCACTCGGTTTCCGTTAGTCCCGCGCGAAGTTAATCGAGTGTTGAGACGTATGGGGGTTTACTAATTATTTTTAATTATCTATTAATTATCATTTATTTCTCTTTAAAGCCCACACATCTGAATACTCGATAAAATTCGAGCAAAGGTGCTCAAAACTGGCGACAAATGCAAAGAATACTGGCTACTGAATATTTTATCTTATCTTCACATTGGACAGTCGTATTTTACTAGCCGATAACAATAAGGAGCGGTGAGATGTAACAAGAAAGTCTTACCGGTTGTGCCACCGCCAGGTGGGTCACTACTGATTACTCCGGGGAATCGAAGGCATCGGAAGTCGAGGCCGAATCGATGGTGATAATATTCCCCTAAAAGCTCCGCGTGCACTTTGCTGACGCCGTAGATGGTGCGCGGTCGTTGCACCGTGACGTTCGGCGTGGGGTTCCTCGGCGAGTCCGGGCCGAATGCGCCGATTGTGGAAGGAATGAAAATCTTCAGCTTGTACTGCTTCGCCAGCTCGATGACATTGTGCATACCTGCGGCGAAGAGCAACAGCAGATTCTCAAATTGACGAACGGAAAATTGCAAGAGCGAAGAATGTTCTCGGTGGACATGCATTGTCGCGAAAATTGAAATATCGAAGCACGGATAGTTAAACGATTTCCTGAAAAGTAGTCTGAAGTTTGGATATTGCGGATATTCTCAAGTTTTCCAGAGTATTGAAAGCAATTTTCCTAATAAGATGTTACATTAGAATTGATACAACGACGCGATATCGACGGGAAACGATATTTCATTATATTATTATTTTATTTTATTTTATATATTTTTCTTATATATTTATATATTATATATATTTTTTGGGAAAGTTATACTTTTCTGTACTGACGTCGATATTACAATATTCCTCAGGATCTCGATATTCAGAATTTCATACTTTCAGACAATTATCTTTCTTTTCAAGGTTGAATATATTGTTTCTTGATACAAAGTCGCCGGAAGAAGCCCACAGAGCTTCAGAGGCAGATAAAAAGGTTGCGTTTACAACTTTGCTTCAAGATACAAGTATTAAGCAAATTAATCGACCACCACTAATTATTTTTCTTACTTAATTATTTTTCATTTTCCACGAATGAACGATTGTGATTGGTCAATTTGTTACTGCTTACGTCTCGAAGCAAAGTTGTGGACCCAGAGAAATTTATCTCCGACGGCACCTCGAAGCTCGTGCCGTTACTTTCCGACAGCTGCCGACAATCGCACATACAATCCTCATTTGCGTGAAAAAATCGCTCTGAATAAATTGAAGAAGAAAATTGGAAAACAAACGACACGACTGGTCGCAACGTTTCGACCGTATGACTCGTCTGCTTTCTCCCGAGCACTTTCTTCTCGAAGCGAGTAAGCGCGATTGCGACGTAATTATCAACGCAATAACCAAGCCACTGCCTGCCGACGCAGCATTCCATTTCACTCGGACGTAGTTTGCAGGAAAACGCGTGTTTTTGTATAGAACAGAATAAAAAAAGGACCACTACCGTTTCGTCAAACGCGTTGCACCGGCGTGCTCGTCAAAACGAGCATGACGAATGATTGCGAGCTCGAGGGTACCGCGGTGTTGCGGTGCACGTGGTAAAGATATGTAATTGAAGCTGGCACAACATCTAACGCGGATACCAACATGATCGTTTGGGAGGAGTATCAGGCGAGTATCAGGCACTTTCGCTCGCCTATGCGGACAAAATCCAAGGCTCCGTATAATTTTTGTAACGCAATATACAAACACGCACGTGTGCTTTGGTTTCTAGCAACAGTGACACGTTGAGAAATTCGTGATACGGCCGGAAAAACAAGTACTCTTCACGAAAAAGGGTCTTGATTGAAATAAATAAATTCGCCTCCCGCGAGGAAAGAAGTAACACAATCTCGATTTTTTCCTTACACGTTGACTATCACTGTGATCATCAGTGATCGCCATTATGATCACTGCGTTTCCACCAATAAAACTGGAAACGAATGCGTGTAACAAATATAACACATGGCCGGAGAATCTGTAGGACGAACTCCAACACGATCACGCATCGTGAATTGCATTTACCGTGTCTTCGGTGGTTCAAAGTTGAGTTGAGCATAATCAGTGGAAATAATGAGATCAGTGTCGAAGCAACCAGTGAAAATCGACGGTCCATGTGTCAGCTGACCAGCGATCGATATCATATAATAATATTAAACGCATTCGTACTTAAAACATGCCGGTTTATCAAGTTCGCCGTATAGAGGCTCGTTAATGCAATATTTCCACTCCTTTTGAAACGCAACGTTTCCCGATATGGCTGCCGATAATCATTTAGGCCACAGAGATACATAGCTTTATTGCCCTCCATTACCTTCGATATTAACTCTGACGGCCAACGGTACGTTCTGTTCGCCGACGGCGCTTAGCAGAGCGCTGAAGTGGATGAGCCAGTCGATTCTGTAGTCCACGACGATTTTTTGCAGGCCCTTGAAGTCGAGGATGTCGGCGAAGATGAAAGGCCCGTATGACAGGCTCTCCTCCGTCGGCTTGATGATGTCGGACAGTATGACGTTCTCGTTGCCGTAATGCCGTCGTAGCATTTTTGCGCACTCCGTGCCCAATTGTCCGAGGCCGCCTACACAGGAGAAAAGCGTGAGGAAAAATGTGAGAGTATTCATTGGACGGCGATGACGAAGAAGAGGCCCCGCAAGGGTCTCTCCCGCTGCGCTGAACGCGCGACGTATCATTATCCTTGTAACACTTTCCCACCCACTTTGCGATTGAACGATCTGCGAAGGATTTGCATACGATGTGTTGTTGGTACATTATGTAGCATTGCGAGTCGCGAGAAACGCGATCGAATTAGAAACTCGAGATGTGACTTAATAGCGCAGCGAGAAACGCCGCATCGAATGACTAATGAGGTAACCCGTCGTCCACTTTGTCGTAAACACCGTCGAGAATTCTGCAACTCATTCCCTGAATAAATTTCTGGAAAATTTTTTTGTAAGATTCCTCCCTTTCCGACTGTTTTAATAATCTCTAAATTTTAAATGAGGCGCGCCGTTAAATTAATCGCCGTTAAATTAGTCGATTAATATCGACCGGCGCCGATTTCTTAATTTGCCAATTCATCGAATCGTAAGAAAGGAAGAAACGACGAGAGCCGGTTTGAGTCGAATCGCTCACCTGTTATAAGAATCCGTGGCGATTTTATGTCTTCCTTGTTCAGCCTGGCATCCTCCCTGTTCGCCTTGCAGAGAGGATTAGCGGAGACTTGGTAGTTCCTGTGGACGTTCCTGGTGACAGATCGCGAAAACTGAATGATATTTTTAAACAGCATAGTGTCTGTCGCAAATTCGAGCACTGATTATCGATGAGCAGATGAGCGCGTTTCATGCGCCTGAAAAATACTTCACAGTGTATTATTCTTCTTTCTGACCGTTTTCTTCGCGAACGAAAGTTCTCAATGACGATGATTACAAGGGATGAAGGTAAAAAAAATAAGCGAAATTAAAATCGTTCACAGTGGTGCAAATTGTCACGAGTAAATGATGAGAGAATAACACAGAGTGCCTTCCTCTTTTCTTTCTCTCTCGAAGGACTCGATCCTTGCTTGCTCGTGGCTGATGAATAACTGATGGAGCTTCACCTGACAATTCTACATTATATCACAGTTCATTGGTAAAACCAGTTCGAGCACAGATGCGTGTCGATGTGTCGGTACGACCAACACAGACGGAACTCTGCTCGGAGTATATAGGCGCAATTACGATAAACTTTACGTAACGGGACGCGAAGTGACGTGGAACGTGAAGTGACGTAACGTGAATTTGGCGTTTGAAGTTATATTTTGGTCTGTTCTTTTCAGCTGCACTGCGGAACTAGTGCAATAAATTAGAATGAGACAACTATATTTTTTCTCACTTTAACTTATTGCAGCAGTTCAGTAGTGCAGCTGAAAAGAACAGACCATTTGATATTACGATCACCGTAACGTAATAATGAATTCTGCTGTGAGGCATTATCAATTTGTAAATTTAATTTTGGCCAGGTATTTGTATCTTCAACTGTGGAAGAGGAAACAAATACGAACCATTGCACAGTGGGCCAAGTGCTGGACAAAAAATCAATTTTTGCACTCATTTCCAAATTTGTTTTCTAATACATTTTTGTTTTCTTTACTTCTTGAAATAATAATTTGTATAAGCATAACGTCTTCTATAATGTTTTCCTTTTTATTTAATACTATTAACGTAGATTGAAACTCAAATTCTGTAACTTTCACATGGTATCTTATATAGAATATATATGTATGTACTTGACAATTAAATGCCTTGAAATTGATATTTAACAATATTTTCAATATAACTAAGTATTTTTAATATATAAAGTTATAACTTATGTGGTCATATTAAAAGAAAAACTTTAGTTTCTTAATGTAATACATAATAAAAAGAACATTTATCATTTTTCTTTTAATATATTTTGAGTATTCAACATCCTTCAATTTAGCGACCTTCAATTTATGCGCATTTTGTCAGGTGAGACCTAAAATCACGTCTTCAAAATCACGTCTTCGTTGCGTGCGTTTACGTGCGTTTTTAGAAATAACAATAATAACATGATAATTAATCCATTAGAGCCCATGACTAACTAGAATATCATGCAAATGACATATGAAATTCTCTAGTATGATAAGAATAACAAATTCGGCGAAAAAAAGTTGAAAAAAAAATTTGTTTATAACAAAATTGTTTAAATAATTTATTTAAAAAATGAGTTGTGAAAATCTAATGCTGCCAATCGATTCCGCTTTGGGAATTATGTTAAAAACAATCATTTTTTAAATAAATTGTTTAAACAATTTTGTTATAAACAAATTCTTTTTGTAACTTTTTCTGCCGAATTTGTTACTTTTATTATACTAGAGGATTCCATATATCATTTGAATGATATCCTAGCTGAGTTAGGCATAGGTTCAAATGGGCTAAGAAAGCGGTGAAAACAAACGGATGACTATCGGTCTCTATTGCCACTTGTTTTTTTTTCTTCAAAGTAGTCTCTGCCCACTACCTTTTTCTCACTATAAAGCTCATATGTACACAGCACGCGATTCATTTGGGTGACGAGAGAACCTCCTCTCCGCTTGATATAAATTCGTCAGAATTCGGCAGCTCTGAGGACGGCTCGTTGTATCTTGTTTTGTCTAAACAAGAATTCTGTCTGATGATATCTGATAGTACTCGCATATTTTTGTAAAACTCAATATCTCGAGAGCAGTATTCAATAGCTCTTGCACAATAACTCTTCAGCCGCAAGAGTCAAACGCTCAAGCTCATTGCACAGAACATAATTCCAGGTTCTGGCTCCTTGTATAGCCTACCGTTATTTTTAGTCGCGATTTTTAACTTTCACACGTTTTCCCATCCGTTAAAAGATAGCTTTATATAAAATGGACTTTAATCTTACAAGAAAAGATTTATTTCTATTTTTGTATTAAAAAAAAAAATCAGTCAACGTCATTTGATTTTAAGAAAAAGCAGTTACAAAATTATGTAATTAAAAATTTGAAGTTAGAAAATTCTCCTAAAGAGGTAAGAGAAAAGATTTTGCAAATTGTTAGAAATTTCTGTAGGGATATTTCTAAAAAATTACGTCAAACTGAAAGGGATTGGGATTTGGTTTCAAAATAGATTGAATCATGGTTAAATACAAAAATTCAATTTCCATCCATTAAAACTGATTCTATAGTTGAAACAACTTCTGTAAGTGCTTGTAAGAGAGGACGACCACAAAAAGCTTTTGACGACTCTTGCAATCGCACAAAACATAGAAAAACACTAGAATTACGAAAATCCAGTGGAACTGAATTAGCATATGCTGCATCAGTAAATCTTCGTTTAGAGGGAAACATTGCAAGTGTGAAGGGATAAGGGAAGTAGCATTTTCACTTTCTAAAAATATTGATGGCAATGTAAAACGTACATTGACATTTACACCTTACTCTGCTGATGAAGCATTAGCTATGATTGTTACTAACAAGTTGACTAAACATCAATATCTTAATATTAGATTAGGAGCAAAAGTAAGAGGAGTTAACTTATATCCTTCTTATCATAAAATAAGGGAAGTCAAAATAGAATGTTATCCTGAAAATATTACCCAAGTAGAGCTTAAAGTTTTAAAACAGCTGCGATAACGTTGTTACAGCTCAAATCGCAGCATTTTTGTCCAGCACAGTTACTGCCACAACGTTATTATAACGTTTTGACAACGTTGTACCAGCAAAAATGGGACAACATTTTTAAGCTTTAAAAATGTTGTTGCAGCTATTTGGCTGCACAGCTATTTTGCTGTAAAGAAGTTATGACAGCCTCTTTGAAAAAAAGATAAAAATAGCTAATAAACGGAGAACGTTTTTTTTTATACGTAAGTTAATATCTAATAAATTTAAATTTTAAGATTTGCTTAAATTTTAAAATATTAAAAAGAGAAAAAAAATTGTATTCAACTAGAATTGAACCTGTGACCGTACAGAATCTTTGTTACAATAAACTAAGATTAAATTTCGAGATTACCTAATCATTGCAAATTGTTACACTTTATGACATACAAGTATACTAGCGCGGACGCAAACTTATAAGTATACTTGATTATAGAACTACACGCAGATCTTTTAGTAATAATTTTAAAGCCATATAGCCTGACGCTTAGATCCGCTTGACCAATGCTGATACATGCTAAGCTTAATGTCAAATTAATAATCCTATTATTTCGTTGTAGCTGTGACATACAAATTACAGCAAGATTACAGCTATTTTGGCTGTTTCTAGCTTCATTCGATAGGCATGCGCGGTCACGACTCATGGTGCACGTGCGTGATAATTTTTCACCTCGTGCACATATACATACATTCGATTATGATATAATCTAAGAAACAGAGCTGACAAGTGGTGTGTAGTAAAGGAAAAATTTTAAGATGTTTGTAATAGTAGAAACGATTGAGGATGGCGAAATTAATTTATGTGTTGTGCCCGAGAGTTGGGAAAAAACGGCGTTTTATTTTGGCAACCAGGAAGAAAGGGATTGAACCTTCGCAAAAATGACAAAATTTTGCCAGACTTTAATAATTAGTCTAAACAAAAGTGTACTGTGAAGAGGAGGAATTTTACAACATTTTAAGCTGCTATTAAAGCTGAAAAATATTTGAGTCAGTTTGATGATACTGAAGACGAGCAAAAATAAGTAGCAAAATGCCCAAAGAAAATTTTGGTTTTTCTAGAAGCTGGTGCAACTTTACAGCTACAATAGTTGCGGCTGTATTTTGACTTTTTTATTAACTGTCACAACTACTTTACAGTTATTGATATAGCTAAAATAGGTAGGGCTGCATTTGGATTTTCTCATTAGCCATGGCAACGTTTTTACAGCTAAAAATCCAGCGAAATAGCTTTTGTTGTCAAATAGCTGTAATTAAGGTTGGTGGGACGTTATTCCAGCCACATTTTTGCTGTTACAGCGAATATTGCCAGACTGTGTTACTTGGGTATAATGACTGAGCAGAAAGCAGAAATAAATATATACACCTTCTAATTACATGTTGAGATATTCACTCGTGTGGACGTTACGTATATTGGATGGATTTCCTTTTCAACGAAGATTCCTACCGCAATTCTAGTTGTGCTCATTTCATTCTGATGCTGCAAAAGTTGCAACTTGATTTGGCTAAAAAGAATAGATTTTTGTTAAGAATCATACCGTGTTCACTCATTCGCATATTCGAAAAAACGAAAAAGACTGAGTCAAGGATCGACATAAATCGAGCGCAGGATATTGATGCGATGCGTGACGTCGACTAATGCGTTATATCGAGAGATTGTATTCCGAAATTCTCAAATAGGTTTTTATAACAAAGGCTAAACGAAAGGCTTTTATAACAAAGTTCTCATGTGCAACACGCAATAGTTTTACAAGGAAAAAGTTTCAACTTGGACAGGTTCATTTTCTAGATATATCTAAGGATCGACACAGTAATAAACTAATGGCTTGAGGATCGAAAGCAACAGTCTGATTCGAGAGTGAATTTGTTATTTATCATGAACGTCATTTTGCATGCTCGATCCTGATCCTGACCTTCGTTTCGTCCTCACTTCACGATTTATCGCTTAGCGCTGGAGAGATCTCGCCAATATATTTACGATACATATAGAGTGTTTTAGAAAGAGGGTTCAGGATTTTAAGGCAAATATTCACAAAATGGAAGAAAAAAGTTCTAACAAACATGGATCGAAAAATGAATAGTTATTTATTTTAATTAAAGCAACGTATTCGCTTCTAATGCTTAAAAAAAGAAGATTTTCTACATATCTTCCTTCCCACAAAAACGCCCAGGGGTTTTAAATCAGAAGAGCTGGGGATACTTTACACCAATAAATGACAGACGAATTACATCAGAGAATACAAAATGCTTGTAAAATAATTAGAGCAAAGCCGGGAATTTTTGAAAGAGTTAGCAATTTTATTGTACGAAGATGTAAAATGTATGCAGAAATAGGAGGAGGACATGTGTAGAAAATCTTCTGTAAACTTTATAAACAACAGAAGCGACTAGGTTGCTCACTTGCTTTAATTAAAATAAATAATTATTCATAATTCCGACAATATTAATTTTTCGACATATTTAGTACTTTTTTCTCTATTTTGTGAATATTATCTGTCCTTAAAATCTTGAATCCTTTTTTCTAAACACCCTGTGTACTTAAAAATATTCATTACACATTAATAAAAGCTGCCATGTTGTTATTGGAAACTTAGGATATAGTTCTTGCGTCATTTTATACATTCAAGTTTTTTATAGTCATCGAGGGCTTGATCACGCCAACCAATAGCGAGGCCGATTCCTTTCTCGTACGATCTCAAAACCGGTTATTACTAAATCCTTCATCTCAAGAGCGAATAGCTCAGAATATCATACAAATAATACTAGAAAATCTTATTTAGAGAAAAGAATTTTTTATAACGTAGTTACCCAGAATGCACATTGGCTCAAAATTGTTTTAAAAACGCCTATTATAAAAAAGAGAAAATTGTCAATGTTTTTAAGACATTGTAAAAAGACGTTATAAAGCCGTCCATTATGAAAACTATATTTATGATTATGAATACTGTTTACATTATCGAGATTAAACACTTATGCGTGCGTCACTATTGCAAATATTACGACACCTCTTAGTCTTTGTGAGCGTCGTGTATGCAAGATCTTGTGTGGAAGTTTGAAAATATTTTACAATTGGACGATGAATTTTTACGCACATCACCTGATTGATTTTCTGTTTGAGTTGCTGTGCCGTATATATTCTCTTCTATGTTACGTCCTGCGGACTCCGCGTACTCTAAATTCGTTATTAAGTAAGGCAAATTAAATTTTATATTATACGGCCAAATGTTCATGTTCCGCGACCCTCCGAGCACAGTGACATCACACACACACACACAGATTTCTCTTTTTTTCTCTCTGTTTTAATCAGCGAAGTTTCACTATTTCTGTCAGAAAGATCCGCTGAGTTATTTTAGCCAGATGTTTCCTCTCCAAATAACCTTGAATCCGAATATTGGAAATTAACCTTTCCAAAGAGTTTTCAATATTCGGAAACTCATGCGTTTTCCCACGTTTGTTCATAAATTTTTATTGCGCGCAATAAACCTCTGACTAGACCTAGCAAAACTTTGAAGATACTCGATCCTTTATAATATTAGACCTCCCTAAAACCCCACTTCCGAAAAGTTTTGCAACAAAATCCAATACCCATATTTGGACATAAACTTTAGAGCCCTGATGCAACTTCCAAAACCCCACCCTCTCGACCGAAGTGACGTTTTGAGTAAAATGAAAAGACTATGACACTTCTATTTCTCCTCCCGATCGACCCGCAGCCAGGACAGAATTTTCTTTTCAGCACCCCTTCAGGGTCTCTTAACAACCTAGTCTCCTATTGGCTTAGACAGATCAGAGTTTCGCCAGTTGTTAATTATTCCGTGCAACGACCTCGTGCATTTTTGGACCATCGTAAACAATCCAGCGGAAACCAGCTTCCTATTCTTGGCGCAAACTTGGGTCATCCATTCTCACCGACACGCAGTAATTACACTCTTCATTTTCGACAAATAGCATAGACCCAGCAGTAAGTTATTTATACTTTCTTTTGCCTGAGCGATCCCTGTCTTTTCATTTTCTTCTTTTCTTCTCTCTCTTTTCTTTTCCTTTCCTTTGCTTCCCTTTTTCTAGTCCTTTGGCATTCCGCCTCAATTGTTAAATCAGGTACCAGTGGCCCAATCTTTTCGATCACAGTCGGACATAACGAACACGGAATTTTGCTCAGACCACGATTGTTTATACATATATGTATACGTACACATTTATAAATCTTACAAATTCTCTTTCATTGTGAACTTCTGCTTAATCATCAATAAAACAAGTTATTTGTAATTGTAAGCCAATCACGTTTTCCAACTAATTATTCTCAACAAAAAATTCTCCCTTTCCTCAACTGTCGCTCACGGTCCTATCCCAGGTAAAAGGATTCAGTTCCTTGACCTAAATAAAGGACCACCGATGTACGTCCACGCCAGATAAAGCGGTCATTCCGATCCTTGATCTGCACCGTAGACTTGCGAGTACGTTGGAGCTTGTGGAAGCAAGCGTCAAGTTGCGTTCCTCCTCCAGGACGTAACATCTATATAGGTGCGGTTTTTCTAAACATATTCCACTCGCATTTGTCGTTTAATTTTAATCGGAAGAGGGCTGATGGATAAACGCTGGGACGATCTAATTATAATTTATCGCTGACTGCAGCTCGATAAATGGCACCAAACAAAGCATATTTTTCCTTGATGTTCAAATAATTTGAGGAATCTATACGAATATCGTACACGCACACACACACACACACTGAAACGTCTAAAAGTAGTCTAAGACGGGACATCTTAAAACAATATCTCAAAACGTCTCAAATCAGGATATAAGATCAGGATATTCTAAAAGCTCATCTTCCTCTGTGTGACGCCTTTTAGTTGTCTTTGCGACGTATAATGTTGCCTGCGTATTTGTTTTCTCGAGGCACCATGCAGTTTCTCATCGACTACCTCAACGATGACGTAACTTGCCTCGTAATGTGCATAAAGCGCAACAATACCGTGCGAGTTTAATTTTATGATTGATCGTTACCTCGATACGGTGTTAACACAATGCGATACGTTGAATTCTGGGTAATGATTTAACTCACGATTTAACGTCGCTTTACGATCGCCAAGCTCTCTCGCTTCTTTTCTCTTTTTTGCATTTATTCCCCCCCCCTTCCTTCCCCTCTCTCTCTTTCTCTCCCTCTGGATATCTATCACGACAAAAACTCGCCGCGATTTGATTCGAGTATTATTAGTTTATAACTAGATATGCTCGATCGCGAAGTCACTGATAGGCATGGATACGACAACGAGACGGCGCGCGTCGAGATTGCGCGGAGAATGCAATCCGCTGACTCCACAACGCGAGACACACAACGCGACCGCAACATTCCGCGATTAACATAGATGTATAAAATACTAATGCATTCCACGCTTTATCCCGCTTATTTTAGCTTTAAACTAGTTCGTTGTGGTGTAGCGCTGCTATTACACTATTATCGACAATATTACATTAAGCTATATTGCTGGTATAAAGTACCTGCAACGAACGGCGGCGAACAGCCGCCGTTTCATTGCCGTAAAATTTCATTGCTCTCGGAGATCCTCGACGTCATTATGAGAGATACGGCGGTTGAGAGAACGCCCAATCTCGTCCTTCTGCGTATCTTTCTTCAGTCGAGCGCGATTCGATCGGGACAATCGCGCCTAGACTCGCACTAGAGGCGAACGAAAGGGAGGCGAATCCTCGCCGACGCCGAATTACGTCGGTACCGCGGCGAGACTCGTGGGGAAAGGGAAGAGTATCCTGGAAGCGTGTCTTCACGGTGGTTGGCCACCGGCACTTCGCAATTCTCTCCTGCGTCCCACCCGCCATTGCCCAAGTCAGCCACCGTCGTCTTCTCCCCTCGGGTTTGTGCAGGCCACGCTTTTGCGAACAACTCCTTCGGTGCATTTAGTACGTGTCCGTAACGAGACCACGAAGAGTCGCGCGGCTGGGTGTCGGAAGAAAGAGCCGTGACGCGCGTTACTCGCCTTCGTGAAAAAAAAAAAGAAAGGAACAAACAGAGATATCGACGCCGTTGGTTTTACGCGCGGGAAAGTCGAGTGGAAGTAAATTTCCAGGAAGTCATCTCGCACAACCCCTGTGGATTTCGCCTTCGCCAGGAATCGTGCGAGGATCTCTTCAGGATCCCACGGGAGAGACTTTCGCTGGCTGGGTGAACGGCGCTCACGCAGAAGGTAAAGCTCCTACAAGGTCGGAAAGTGCAACCTTTCATCGAGTACCCTGAACGACACTCTTTCCACCCCCCTTGAACCCCTGCCGTTTCTTCTGATGTCCTTTTTCAATCTACTCTCGATAATTATACAATGTCGACAACGAAATTACCGGACGCTGGAAGAATCTCAGAAAGGTCACAAGGTAGATTTTCCCGAGGACAAACGCGGGAGCTGGTTTTTCGCGCACATGCTCAAGGTGAAACAGGGTGAAGTAAAATCGTCGGTCGCTTCAGAGTGAAAAGGAACCATCGAGGATCCATCAATCGCGCTCTTGGAGATCCGTTGCTCGATCCGCGCAGAGGTGCACGACCTTTCTCATTGTTGCACGTTGCATAACGACGCGCGGCCCGAAAATACTCGCGGCAGAAAATGAGATGTACGCGCACGGCATATCTGACTGACTGTCCGACTGACTGACGGCGAAACATCCAGGAAGTCGGAATCACTTTCACTGCAATCGCGTCTGGCCGCTCCGTCGGATCGTTCGGTCGGGACCGAGCCAGACGGCTGCGACCGCGACGACGACGATGATGACGGTAATGAAACTCGGGAGGCAATTAACGAGCGCTTCTCTCCGTAATATCGCCAAATGGGCCATTCCGTGAAGCAAGCATGTGCCGTATGTTAAGCGCTTAATTAAACGCGGCTCGAGCCGAGTGAAATCTCCCCGCACCGCCTGCGCGACTCCTCGCTCCGGTTTGCCGCTAAAGTTTTCTTTTACCTTCCATTCAGAATGTAGTTCCGAAGAAGAGAGATACCGTCGGAGCAATGAATGCGCTAATTTCCTAATATTACGAATAAATAAATAAACTTACGTGTTGGTGCAAAGCGATCCTTAAGATGTGTTGCACAGAGACCGACGTGTCCCGTTAATTAAATGAAGATTGCTTTTGACACGCGAAATAGATTATTTGAACTTATTTCAATTCTTTCACAGGCGTATCCTCTGCTGCAAAACGAGCGTGGTCTCATTTCTCGAAATTCCGAGTTATGAAAGGCGAAAAATTTGATCGATAAGTCAGAATCTCACGTAAAAATCCAGAGATTTTCTCAGACATTTATTCGCGTTATAGCAACACCGGGCGACGGGGGGGGCGGAGGGGAAAGGAGGGGGGAGGAGAGGGGAGGGGAGACTACTTGGCCGAGTTTCATGAGAATCGCAAGGATCTTGCCGGAACTTTATTTATCCCGGAGCAGTCTTTATCTTATCGATCGGTCTCGAGCGAGACGACACGGGACATGTAGGAGAGCGTGTCGCCTCCTTCAAGTGCCGTAATCCTTATCCGGAAGTGGAGCCGGCCGCACCGTTCCCCGGCGCACGTGTTCACCGCATCGCGCATCGTGCTTTCTCGCGAATCGCGGCTGTATCGACGTCACGTTCACGTGCGAATGACTTTTCAGGCCGGCCGATTGTTCGCTGCTCTCTTGCGGCCGCGCTGCGCCGCTTACGAAATCCACGTGTTTACGCGTGACAAGATCCCCGCGATCACGGTGAGCGCAAGGCGTTATCCTTGCGGGCGTCGCGCGTCGCGTAATTGCGACGAGCGCGCTCAGCCGCACGAATAATGAAGCGAATCGCAGGAGCGATCGCTCCTGCGAGACATACGCAAAAGTTTCGCAAACGAGAGCGTCGCGAGAAGGACGAAAGGCCGCGAGATCTCTCGCGTACTTTCTCGGCGGTGTGCGGCCGCCTCGCGCGCTCTGCGAATTTTTCATTTTGCCCGGCTCGCGTCCTGCGCCTCTCGTCCTTCCGGAGCACAAGCGCGCCCAGTGCGGCGGCAATTATTACGGACGACGATTGTCCTAGCGGTCTTTAGCTTTTGCTTACGGTACGGGGCATCAATTTTGTCGTCTGTGACCGTGACGTGCGCTACACGCGCGCACACAGATGGACACGTCTAGCCTGGCGTCAGGGTACGTACGTATCCTGACACCGCACCGTGACAAACCGTCCAAGGGCTCGCGAAATGCTCACGAGATCCGACCATCATCGGCCGCCTCGTTTCGTCCCGTTTCATCCCGAGCGGGTGCTCGTGCGACACGCCTCGTCACCTCCTCGCACGCGTCACCTCGCCCACGCGGAAGCGCGTGCAATTAGCTAGCTGCGGTTCGCGCGCTCGCGACCCTCATCTCGGCTCATGTGTCATGTGTCGAAACGAACGTACAACGCGGACTTGTTCTTGCGCTGGACAAGCATTGTTTCGACAAAAATGCAGGGAAATTTAAAAAGAGAGTCCGTTTCCTTGAGAAGTCCCCCGTATGATTTTTATTTTCTTTTTATTTTTAATCATTAATAATATTAATAATATACAGGGTCTGTGACCCCTTTGGTGTACAAGATTGAGACAGTGGTATACGAGTAAGAAAATTCTCATACAATGAAAAGTGAAAGAAAGTAATAAAAAAGAAGAAAAAGAAAGAAAAAGAAGGAAAGGAAGAAAGAAAGTAAGCGGGAAAAAGGATGATTATAATTTAAAATATTGAAGCTATCTCGTTGTTCATTTGGCTTGGTATTATCAGTGGAGGTGCACTGTCTCGAAGAGAAGCACCGAAATTTAACCCTTTGCGCTCGAGAGGAGAGCGACTTTCAGTCGCCACTGGGTTTTATGTTAGCTGTAAGAAGTTTGTCGAATATTCGCAAAATCGTCGAGAGTCAGCTCTCAAGTGCAAAAGGTTAAATTCTAGACAACTTTTTCGTTAAGGCGAAGTAGTAAGACGATTTAACGATTTAACTCTAGACGATTTTACGAATATTTGACGAACTTCCTGGAGCTAACATAAAACCAGCAGAGTCGCCTCTTGAGCGCAAAAGATTAATTTGAAATTGTCTTATTGCTCAGCTGGATCTTTCAGGGCGACACGTGTCCAGTCGTTTACAGAAAGTTTATGACGTTAATGACTGGTGTTAATTCTGCTCGTGAATAGCTTCTGTACATGTCGTATTTCAAGGTGTGACAGTTCTCTCGAAAACTGCTCGAGAATGCGCAAACTCAACGCTCAGATTCGCGCAATCTCGTTAACTTCCCGCGGGCTCACTATCTCGTCAGCCGAGAAAAAGAAAATGTAGCGAGCTTTGTGCCTAATAACATTGCCGACGCGCGTCATTCAGCGACGATAAATCACGCACGGCGCTGCGCGGCACGACGCTCAGAGCCGCGCAGCGCCGCGCAGCGGGCTGTTGTCGGCCGGCTGAAGGAAATGAGGAAAGTCCGGATATGCTCCTGAGTATCGGCCTACCTAATCTAGAAAAGGACGGTCTGAAAAAGCTTCGAATGTGGACGCTTAATTGCATGACTTTCGGTGCTTGCGTGCACGATCGAAGCGATACTCTCTAGTTGACGAGCGTTAGTTGACGAACGCTCCTGTTCTCCTGGCTCTCCTTCAGATTCGCACCCCCGCCACGCGCGGCGGGATACATGTTGCAGAAGATGTGGAAGTGCTGCTCGTGCTGGTCGTAAACTACGGTCCAAATGCGCGATGGTCAGGCCATCGGAAGGCGGTGGGCTTCTGATAGTCGGCTGGCTTCTGGCGTTGCGCTCCATCGGCGCCGGCGCCCAACTGGACCCCGATTACGGATGTCCGCCTCAGGAGAGGATACTGCCATGCAGGTGCTCGACGCGCGACATGGAGGTTCAGATATGGCAAGTGGACAAACGCGCACGAGACGAGTCGAGCGTCTTCTTATTTTTTTTTTAGGATCCTATAAAAGAGCAAATTTCATTGTAATTTTGGAAGCATTTATTTCTTGATATTATCTTATTACGACAAATTACTGACACGTCAATGGAGACTCGTATTCACTCGGCTTCACGTATGACTTCACGTAGGTGTAGTCATAGCGAGCTACCGAAGGTACTGGAGGGTCTCAAGGCGGTGAGCCACTACGTGGACCGACCGGTGGATGAGCTGATCCTGGAGAACAACAACTTGCCGAGTCTACCCGGCAAAGTGTTCGCGACCCTGCGCGTCTTGCGCCTGATGTTGCGTAACAATCGTCTCGAAAGGGTGTCGTCCGGCTGGCTGGAGGGACTGCACGACTCGCTGCTGGAGCTCTTCATCGTCGAGCCAGACTTACGGTCCTTGCCCGTGGACAGTCTGGAGAACCTGCAGGGTCTCGAGGCGGTGACGCTGCAGAGCCGCGTAATGAAGCGGCTGCCAAGGTTTTCCAGTCTACCAAAGCTCAGGTACTTGCAGATCAACTCGCCCGCCTTGCTGGAGCTCGCGCCCAGGAACTTCCGTGACATCCCAAATCTGGAGCAGCTGCACGTGTTTGGTAGTCCAAGGCTGACCAGGCTGGAAGCCGGTCTCCTTCGAAGTCTACCGCGGCTGGAACTGATCAACGTCACCGACTCCGGCATCCACTGGATCCACCCGCGGGCGGCGATCGATCTGCCGGACCTGAAGGAGGTCTCCTTGGCGGGCAACGCGATAGTCGACGCCGCCATGGTCGGTCGTGCGTGCGTCGACCTGCCGTCGTTGTCGATCATACGTCTGGACCGTAACCGTATCAATCGCCTCGGTGAAGGCTCGTTCGTCGATCTGCCGGTGTTGTCGCGCCTCTACCTGTCGCGCAACGTCATCACGGAGATATTCGCCGGAGCGTTCCAACGGGTGCCGCTCCTCAAATCGGTGGACTTGAATCACAACCTGATTCACCGGATCCACCCGGAGTTCTTCCCGCGCCGTGCGGTGAACGTGCTGGAGGAGATGTGGCTGATCAACAACGACCTGAGCCACGTGGCCGAGATACGCTCGGTGCTTGAGGCCTTGCCGCGGTTGAAGTTCCTAGATGCCAGTCACAACCAGCTGGAAGAGATACCGTTTGGCACTCTGAGAGGCCATCCTACTTTGGAGAGGCTGCATCTCAATCACAACCGACTGGCGTTCCTGCAGAGGGAGACGTTCACAGCGATGCCGGCGCTCAGGGAGCTCCGGCTGAAGAACAATTCCCTGTCAAACCTGCTGGAAGCTCCCTTTTGGAATTTGCCGGCGTTGAAGGTAAAAACATCGTCGCCTACGATTTCACCGCATCAGCAGATTCTTCTAGAGACTCTGAAGAACACCATTTCTTCTCTCCAATTTTCTGCTCTCCAATTGATTTAATTTCCAGTTGAATTAATCCTTAACGCTCTCACGCTTCGTTTCATCAATCGCACGTGATGATCGTGCGTTCAGATCAAGTTCTGCTATTTGTGACTATATGACAGCGTAATAATTGGTGTTTTATATAATTCGATTCGATGTGTTTATTTATTTTGTATAATTTTACATTTGCACCCTGATCGAGACATTGCTTTCAGGGCCTCGATCTCTCGGAGAACTACTTCCGTCACATAGAGCCGCATCTGCTGACGAATCTGCCGAGTCTCAGGCGACTGGATCTCAGCGGTAACGCGATCAGCCTGATCGAGCCCGAGTCCTTTCTCAACACACCAGCGTTGGAGCACGTGAACGTGTCGGGCAACGCCTTGTCCATCCTTCATCCTCTCACCTTTCGTCACCTAACAAACCTGTACGAGCTGGACGTCGGCTGGAACCGCATGCTGGAGGTGGTGCCCGGTCTGCCGAAGGACATCGAACACCTTCACATGCCGATGAACCGCATCGTCGCTTTGCCGGTGGTATCCTCGCAGGATTTAGCCCTGCCCGCTTTGCGATCGCTGGATCTTAGCGCGAACGGTATCGAAAGGATTCCGCCCGGCACGCTCGCCGATCTGCCGAACCTGAGGAGACTGAATCTGGGCTACAACGCGTTGCGGCTTCTCGAAGACGGCGTCTTCGACGGGCTCGGCCGATTGGAACAGTTGGACCTGAGGTACAATCGATTAGTCACGTTGCATGGACGAAGCTTCCGGCCGCTCAAATCGTTGATGGACGTGAATCTGCGCGGCAATCGAGTGGAGGTCCTCCGGCCGGACATCTTTCAAGAAAACGTACGGCTGCAGAGAATCGACTTTAGCAGAAACAATCTTGCCCAAATTCCTCACGCCACCTTCACCAATACCAGGTAAGAAACGTATCGAAATATTCGATAAAAGCTTTTCCTGCGTAAAAGAATAGGATTTTCACGGCGTAATTCGGGTGAAGTGAGAAGTAGGATTTTCGCAATTATATTTTGTGACAAAAATATGAAGTAATATTATTTTGACGAATATTCTCGAAAAAATATCCAGAATATAAATTTGTCGTTATATAAATATATTAAAAAAAGGTTTTTATATAATATAATGTAATACATAAAAGTTGTACTGCATTCCTCTTTGGTTATCGTGATAAATTTCAGCTTAATTTTATTAATCATTAAAGCCCGCTCTCTCTCTCTCTCTCTCTCTTAAATTTGATCCCGACATTATACGACGCTCGGTTCTCATTTCCGTGTGCTGCCGTGTGAGAAGGAAAATATTAATTTACCGCGGCATATCTTGATTAAGAAAATGACTCGAAATCTAATATCGAGCCCGCAGTTTTCCCCGCGTTTTCGTTACCTCGCGCTCGTCTCGTGTTCTAGTGGAAAAGCAGTTTCACTCGCGGTTACTTGATTGCATCACTCGCAAATTGGTACCTAGAAAGTTCTTCGTGCGCACGCTAATATCTCTTTCACGTCGTTGTATAGCATCGGTCTGGCGTGTCGCCTAATTCGCGGTATCTCGACTCGTTTTCGCACACGCGGTTTCATTACGTCTCTTCGAATTTTTTCGAATTTCGATTGTGCGCAGACGATATGTATTCTCTCTTGTTTTCTTCTCACGTTATACGCGAAAAATGTCTCGTCCCATCTGTCTCGTCGGAAGAGAACTCGTTTTCCGGGTTTAACTCGAATAAAACGCGTGTGCGTGAAAACGGCGAGCGTCAAGACGACGAGCGACATCGCGAGCGAATTGAAAGCGCACGTCTGAATCTCTCACGCGTCCCTAAATTCTTCCTCGCGCTGGCGCGTTTGAGAAAGGCGAGGGACACAGTTTCTAATGATTCCGTGCGGACAAAACGGCGACAATGTCAAAACTCGTTACAGAGACCTTCGCGAACTGTACGCGTCGCACAATACTTTGACCGAGTTACCCGGATCGCTGCACGGCTTAACAGCTCTTCGGGTCCTCGACTTGAGCTTCAACAAGCTGAACATCCTATCTCCGGAAACGCTGAGCAGCCTGTCGTCCTTGCTGGAACTGAAGCTGGTCAGAAACCGTATACGAGAACTGCGGGAGGGCGCGTTCGATGGCTTACCGCGGCTGTCCCTAATCGATCTGGAGAACAATGATCTGCGAGTAATCGAAAGAAATGCGATCAGGGCGTTACCGGAACTGCAGGCCGTCAGGCTCGGCAGTAACCGATTGCAGGTTACGAAATTTCGAGATAGTTTACATCGCAATATCTCGGTTTTCAATAAGAACGTTATTAACAATAACAATTTTTTCCTCAAATACTTCTTACGTACCGTAAAAGATTCTTAAAACTAGAAAATAATATTGCCAAATATATTTATTTTTGAAAAACTTTTATATTAAGCTTTTTTATTAAGATCTTTAAGAAATATCAAGTGCACCATCATATAAATTTATTCTCGTAGCCTGGTCAGGCTCGGCAGGAACCGACTGCAGGTTACAAAATTTCGAGATAGTTTACATCGCAATATCTCGATTTTCAATAAGGACGTCGTTGATGATAACACATTTTTCCTCAAATACTTCTTATCGTATCGTAAAAGATTCTTAAAATTAGAAAATAATATTGCAAAACATATTTCTGAAAAATTTTTATATTAAGCTTTTTTATTAAGATCTTTAGAAGAAATATCAAGCGTATCGTCATGTAAATTTATTCTCGTATAAATATCACACGCATAAGAATGTTATTTACATTTATCACATAACGTAAGAGTGCGTACAAGTTGCACGAAACACGGTAACATATTCCGCTTCATTATCGTTCGATCTCTGCATATATCGCGAGTCTCGTAGAATCGGAGCAACAAATGACGTTCCGATGCGTGATTTTACAGTCCATCCCCAGCGGCGCTTTCACCGAGCTGCCGTTGCTGCAGAGCGCAGAGCTCCAGGAAAACCGCATTCAGGAAATCGCCGGTAATGCCTTCATTAACGTACCACACCTGCTGTTCCTTAATCTAAGTCACAATCATCTTTCCGGACTGGAGTACGTCGGTCTGGAGAGCCTCCGTTCGTTAGAGGTCCTTGATCTCAGCCATAATCGACTGTCCAGGGTCTCCAGCAATAGTCTGGCGGCTATGGAGTGGCTGGTCGAGCTGAAGGTACGCGCTCTTCTCTCGATTAATTTGCGGCTAATTAATTAGCGTTAATGAGATTAACCGCTCCGATGCCTCACGATGGAATGCAACGTCGCGCTTTCTATATTTCGCTGCACCGATTCCTGGTGCACATCATTACAGGCATCCTTGAAATACGCGCTCGAATTGTGCGCGGACGCGCAGGATAATTCGATTAGGCGCGTAATAACGCGTAAAGGAAAAACAACGTGGAACAACAATACAGGGCCTGTTTTTCTCTTTTTCTTTTTTTCGCTATGATAGAATCGAATACTTTCTCGTCGAGAGTGAAACTCGACGCGCGAACCGCGATGCGAAACGGACCGCTCTCTGCCGGCGGAGCAATTATTCGTACACCCGTCGCATCGTTAATTAGGTGAGAGATAGCCGAGCCGCTTTACATACGTTTCCCTTTCTATGTGCGCAGATGGACAATAATCGCATATGTGCGGTGCACGGCTCGCCTTTCGACGACATGCCGAGGCTACGGGTGTTGAGTCTGCGAAGCAATCGCATGACCGCGGTCTCCGAGAGCGCCTTCAAGAGACTGCGATCGAACATCGCAGTTTTGGACATCGACGGTAGGAAAACCGTCGTAGATTTAAGTCAATTGACACAAATATAATTGGAGGGATGAATGAAAAAGAAAGACGAATTAAAAGAGACCGGTAAATTCAAGGAAGCTACATAACGGTTGATTTTATACTTTCTCGGTAATCGTTCATTTCGGAATAAAAAAAAGAAAATGAAAGAGAAATTGATGAAGAAGAAAGATAGATTAAAGGAACCAGTAAACTCGGCTATATAACGGTCGATTTTATACCTTTTTGGTAATCGTCCATATTTTTTTCCGTTTCTCTTGCAAAAGGAAACCCGTTATCCTGCTCTTGCGGCATGCTCTGGCTGCGAGGATGGCTGCAGCAGGCTTCCACGGAAGGACCCCGTTGTGCCGATGGTTCTCTCTTCAAGGAACTCCGACTGTCGCGTCAGGACTGCCAGCGTGAGAGATACGCGGAACCGGTTCATCCAGGTTGCGAAACCGAAATGATTAACGTCGCTACGCCGTCGGTTTCTTCATCCGGTAAATAAATATTAAACAAGGAGATAGACAAGAGGAGATAAACCGTCGATCTTCTGTTCTGAGGAGGGGGAGAGAGAGAGAGAGAGAGAGAGAGAGAGAGAGAGAGAGAGAGAGAGAGAGCGAGAGAGAGAGAGAGAGAGAGAGAGAGAGAGAGAGAGAGAGAGAGAGAGAGAATTTCGATTCTACTGTTGGTTTTATTATTGAAATTTCTTTACTATAAATTTGCGTCTTTTTATCTGCCCGAGAAAAGAACGATATATAATTATATATGAATCTTGTCTTTTTTCATATAGAAAAAATGCTGTTGTATAAATACAATTAAAGTGACTGCTTATGTTTGTGGCAATCCGTGATGTTTAATCCGTGAATGAAACTAAATTTTCTTTTACTTCATAGCTTTAATAGCATCTTTTCCATTTGGATATGTATGTATAATTACATTTGATATGGTCATACAAAGACAAGATTTATGTAGGAGCCATATATTATTATATATAATTTTACATAATTATGTATAATCTCCTTTCCGCCTGGATGACCGCTTCGATTAACACCCTGATTTACCTAAAAATCAATTAACGACACATCGATATTTCGCAGCGTTCGGCATCACGGAGACGGTGCCACTCTGGATGAACCTCAAGGACTCTTCGACGCAGAAGCCGTCCATTTCTCAGGACCCCGATTACTTCTACGAGTACTTGGATTACCAGCAGGATAACACGAGCATGTCACCACCCGGCGTGTCCACCGCCAGCGTGCCCACACAGACCGTGAAGATCATTCAGCCGCCGTCGCCGCCGCCGCCGCCGCCGTCGCCGTCGCAGACGCAGAAGCAGCATCAGAGTCAACAGAAGAACGCGACGTCGCCGGTGAAGAAGCATCCGGCGATGCCACCGTCGCCCAGTAGCTCCGGCTTTACCTTCTTTGGCGTGCCGTTACCGAGCCTGAATTTCAACCTTTGGGGACACTCGGGCAGGAAAGCCGAGAGGAAGGAATCCTCGTCGTCGTCGGGCAGACCAGGTCGCGGACGTTACCGATTCTTCCCGCCGACGGAGCCCGAGATTCACCGGGGTGGCTTCGTACCCCTGCCACGCGCTCAGAGTGGCTTCGTGCCGATTGTCGATCCCAGGTTGATGTATGAGAAACGCGCGAAGTACGAGAACGTCACGAAGTCGTCGAACGCGAGCGGCACTGTCATGCCGCAGGAGGAACGCGTTCGAAAGAGCGGCAACAGCACTGTGATCAAGGTGGAGAAAAACACCGTTCCTAGAACTACCAATAAATCGCAAACGGAGCGGGAGCGGGAAGAACTATCGACCGCGTCGACGTTGGACCGATCGGCCGTGCTGATGAGCTCCTTCGAGTCCCGCAAAATCTCGACTGACGTTAACAAAATTAGGTGACCAGCCGAATTTTACTGACGATCCTCTTTGTCAGCCTTTGAACATTCAGATACTCAGATACAAATTTGTTGAATAAATGCCAACGCAAATGGTTCATAGTTCATAGTTTTCGACATAGTTTTCGTTGCTTAGAAAGCGCGCTTTTCTTTGAATTACTTTTCTTCAAGTTCGAAGTCCCTATATCGTTATCTACTTTTCCGACTGATCTTTCTTTTTGGTTTAACTAGCTCTAGCACACCGAGCACAACGAAAAATATAGAGCCAATAGTCGTGGAGGAGACATCACAAGAGGCTCATGAGACGTCGGTGTCCACGAAAATTTACGACAGTGAGAGTCTAGAGGTGAGCACGGAAAACGTTAAGTTCATCGAGAAACCGCAGGTACAAACCGCCAGCAGAATCATTTGGACGACACCCAAAGTGACGATGACAGAGTCGAGGAAAGCAACGACCGCCAAGGAAATCGTAACGACGACGATGGAGGTAGCGCCAAAAGGAAGCAGCACTGCAAAGTGGGACCTTGAAGTCTCCGAATACGAAGGAGACTCGAGTCACTTAAGCAGCACGACCGATTTCTACGACGAAGGTGAGTCTGTTTCGTTCGCATCTTTACGAATTAGCCAATGAATCTTGAAGTCTTCGAGTTGACATAAATAGCGAACGCCACTGCAAAATCAGAATCTAGAAATTTGAAAAGCGAGACAATTTCCCGACAATAACCCCAAAATCTAAGTACCAAGAATTCAACAGCGTCCTGAAAGAGAGAGAGAGAGAGAGAGAGAGAGAGAGAGAGAGAGAGAGAGAGAGAGAGAGAGAAATACAACTTTCCCAAAAAGTTATGCTAAAATCTGTATAACGATATAATGTACAGAAAAACATAGCTTTCTCTAACAACAAAAGCCAATAAACGTCAGCTAACAGTAACATAATATCAACAAGTACAAGCTTCAAAAATCGTGTAAGACACATCGCAACAAAGTTCCATTCATTGCAGACGATTCGTACACGACGAAGGCGAACCCGCCGATTTCGCGCTTCTTAACGTCCGTGACGACCCCGGCGCTAAGTCGTCCCAAGGAAACCACAACCATGATGATCTCGCACACTTCTCGAGGCACGGAAGCGTCCGCCTTATCCGCGTTTCTGATCCCAGGCGGGCAAGTGCCATCCTCAGGACCAACAGTGAATTTTCGTCCCCTCGGCAGATCCACGATCACAAAGGTCGCCTCGCCACATCTCGACCGAAATCTCGGCGAGCCGTCGAGAGAGAGGCAGAAGTTCGTCACGGGTAGCACTCTGAAAAACACCGAGATCGTTGACGACAGGACACTAGGCCAGAACGAGGCGTTCATCGTCGATGAGGAAGCCAGAGTGACGGACGACGGTCCTTTCAATTGGTATTTCCAACATTACAACGACACGAACTTGGAACCTTACGTGGGCGTAGTTTACGGCGGTGTCGCGAAGATCGACGCTAGTCCATGGCTATTCGTGCTCGTTTGGAGTGTCCTGCTGTAAGGATACCTGGAGCTCGCCGACTCCGTCGTTTTCTCGTTTCTTCTGTCTTGGGGACAACCGTAACGAAGCGTAAGGACGGTTCGTGTTCGTCGGATTTGTTTCGTAAAAGACAATTAAACACAATGCAAGCGAAGTCTGCCAATGAATATTCTTGTATGTGAGTGCTGAAATCGCACACTGCGTGTGCAGGCATGCTCTTATGACGAACAATGTATACAGTTGCGCGGTACGTTATACCTGTCCCGTCCGGGAATCAACGATGCAGGTATTATAAAAGTCGCGTGTGTATGTGTGTGTGTGTGTGTACTCATGTTTTTATAATATTTACTTCCCTTTTTTTTTGCTAAAGTATTACATATGAAATATATATATATATATATATAAATAGAGAGCATTTGTATATTAACGATAAATAAAACGATATAAGTAAACGGTCATTTTATTAGTGATGCGTTCTTCTTCATAGGCAGATTTGAGTTTCCGAAAAAAAAATATACCTTCCACTATCATGCTCCTTATATCATCACTATCATGTTCCTTATATCATGCGCGTTGTTATACGAGAATCTCAAATGCAATATTGTTCGAAATGATCGAGGAAAGCGCGTCGCAGAGATTGACTGACAATCGCGACAATATATCGAGTCGTTCAATAATATCAAAATCAATAAAATTGTGTCACATTTTCTTATATAGATTACTATTGTTGTTTATATAGATATATTAACGGATTGTTACAATAAAAACGCCGAAAATATTGTAATAGTTACAATGATGATCTGTAAAAATGTCTTAATCCTAAATCTCTCACGTGATACATATATTACCATTTATCACACTCGAAGGACTGAAGTGCCGAATTTATCGTTTTCCTTTTTCCTTTTTTATGTCTAATCAGAGGTATTCTCATGAATTCTCAGAAACAATTTCGAGAGCCAGTTTGTAGTGCTCGTGGTACTTACTTCAAGTATCGTTGTAAATGCGAGTGCGACTTTCTGTACAAACCATAGACACGTTTGACTATTACACACGGATTCAATAATACATTTCCAACTTTAACAGTCTCGATCGCGTAGATTGAGCGAGTTCAAAATTACTTCGATCACTGACTCTTGGTTTTCGTCTTCTCTTCTTTTTTTTCTTCTTCCTTCTTCTCTTCCTTCTTTGTTTCTTTCTTATCCGTTTCCTTTTTCTCAGCATCACGATTGGTCAACTTATTGTTAATTAAATTGTGTAATGCTACTATGGACCTAACAAGAGCCGCTAAATATACAACCAACATTTGATCATTCGTTTTAATATATAGCGAATCGACAAAGCTGCTTTGGGTCATATCTGGCAACAGATTAAATATATCCTGAAGCTGATAGACAATTTGATGATTTATTGGTAATTTTCCACTGCCAACCTGTCAGAGCAGAACTTGTGTGAACAATTGGTAACTAATGAAATACTAAAACTGCTATGGCTATATACCACAAATAGAGATATATATACCTGAAGCAGATAATCTCTAATTTCCCGGATTTGCTCATGAAGACCTTTCAAACCAAGTAGTTGGTTTGTAATTCTTTGACTTAGTGTACCAACTGTGGTATCTTTAATATCTCTCAGTAAATGTTCTACTCCAACCTCTTCAGCTTCCTCTGCGCCAATTTCACTAGGAATATGCTCAAAAGTTTTAGAAGTTGGAGAACCATCCTATGTGAATAAAAAAAATATACATATATATATATATGTATGTGTATATGTATATATATATGTATATATATATGTGTATGTATATGTATATATATATGTGTATGTATATGTATGTTACTTAAAAAAAATATATATATATGTATATAAACATACATCGTGTACTTCTTCAACTGCCTGATATGCCTCTGTAGGAAGACCAAGATCTTTTGGTTTGGCATCAATGATTACCAAAACTGAATTGGGGCAGTATCTTCTTATCAGTTCATTAATGGCAACATCATTTTGATGTAATTTGGGCCCTGTATGATACCAACCTACTACCTTTTCACGAGCTAAAAAGATGACAAAGCGTAACAATCAAAATTCTCGTTTTACCTTGTAAAACTTGTATGTACTAATCATCTGTAAATCTATACCATTAACTTTCTTGAACATCCCATACATGTTTTCGAGGTAATCATGGTCCAAGAACCATACACTTTTGTCCTTGTCATCCTCATCAAAAGGTACTGAAACATCAAGATTTATTCTTTTAATACGTGTAAACATTATTATAACGTGTAAACATTATTATAAATATAAATGTATCAAGATACATTCAAACTTTTTTAAGACCAGATCCCTAACCTGCAAAGCTGTTTGACACATCCAAGATACCCTTAGCTCTCCAGCAGCCTAAAAGTACACCAACCACTCTTTTTTGATTTCCGATTTTTCCCATACGATTAAAGTGATCCACTACGCTTAACAGCACCAGCGGGTGCACCACAACCTTCGTTGTCACGACCTCTTGACTCGGCATTTTTGGATAAACTTAAATGGACTCGAATAAAGCGGGGTCTACAATGCTTTCGTGGAATCGTCTAGGCTATGTTCTAACACATACTACCAGTGCTGAAAAGATGTTCCAGTTATTAGCGTTCAGTGCACTGCGGCAGCATCTAGTTCCTTCAATGACGTCATAATTGGCAGCCATATTGCTACTGCACTACTGCAGTTAAAGGCCATCACACATACTTTCTGTAATGGCCTTCTACAATAAACTATTAATCATAAGTTGTAACCAAATTGACCGACCACAGTCGATTATTTTTGAAATAATCAATTGTGATTGGTCAATTTGCTTATAGCTTATGACTAATTGCTTATTGTAGAAGGCCTCTAAGATGAAACACTAAGGTTTCGACACAATTGTATCATTCATTTCAAATAATCATGGTTACGGACGGTCGAATCGAAACGAGGAAAGTATGTGTGATGGCCTCAAATTTTTTCCCTGATTAGAAAATAATTAGTACTCGCATCGAAGACTTAATGTATTTTAAAGTAATGGCAATTAAGTAAAGTTATAATACGAAAGACTAAAAATTAAAAATTAAATATGTCAAAAAACGGAACACAAAAAAGCCAAGGGATAGAGAAGCTCTTTCTTGTTCATTTTTATAGATTCTCTGTATCGGGTCTTGCCAAAATTGCTTTTTTAATTAGCTGGTATCATGGAGAACTGTCCAATTAATAATTTATGACGAGATACTAATAGTATTACATTGTTAATGGCAAAACTCAGTCGGAACGTTACAAACATTTTAATAACATCAGACGAAGAGCTATCGTCTAGAAAATAATCGAGATATATCGAGATAATAATGCAGAAGCTTCATACGATAATCGAATTTGTAAGATAAAATAATCGATATCAAAATAATCGATATCAAAATAATCGAGATGTATCGTCCATTCCTAGTTTCCAGTTTTACCGTTTCAGTTTTGTTGGTTAGGAGCATTCGCGAGTTTTAGTGCAGTTTATTCGCAAAGTAATATATCGTTATCGTGTACCAAAGGTATATCTGATCGTATTTTGTCACGTGAAACATCTCGTGTTTTCATTCTTTCGAAGAAATAATGCACTGTGACAAGAATGTAACGTTAGAATTCACTGTACACGTCAACATTAGACGACCTTCTCTCGCCTTCTTCTTTGTTATTGACTGAGATAGCGAGGGAGAGCCCTCTGTACCACGCTTCCAACACACAAAACGACTTTCTCGAGTGACGATAATGTCAATTGTTGAATGTTGTCAACCTGACAGATGCTATAAAATGCGCGAAATTGGAAAGATAAAGAAAGGAAGATACATTTTATTTATCGCATCAGAAACAACACGAAGAACAACATTCAGAAATGAAAATATCTCTTTAATAACTCTGAGATGTAATTCTGGATATAAATGAGAGTAAAAAGAAGTAGATAAAGCTAAAAATGAGTAAACGCTCTTGTGTTTTGAAGATACTGACGACAGTGTTTTACCTATGCCTATGCAAAACATATTTGACATTTGTAATTTTGCAAAGGGAAGCAATGAATTGATTTGCGACATCGATACAATTAATAATATGCAACTGTTGATTTTTGCAGTTTATCTTTTAACTGTATTAGCTTTTAACTGAAAAATTTAACCGTGCATCCCTACTGCCTTGATAAAGTCCAAGTAGTTAAGAAATTGCGAGCCAAGACGTGATACATAATAACATTATCGTTATAAATATTCTTCTAATCACGGATTTTCCACTTATGAAATAACTTATTACACTTCGTGTTGTATAAAACATAGGGGTGTCATTATTTTTATCACCTTTGCGATAAGATAATATCGCGGTTACGTCTTTAATTTGTTAGGCGACAATCCGGCGTGGAAATGGATTTTCTCAGAGATTTTCTCAGACTCGCCGATGTGTTATCGAGGACGATACGTGCCGCATATTGATGCATCCTGCGAAAGATAATATACTTGCTTTTTATTGTTGCAGATAACGGAAGAAAGAGCGAGAGAGCGAGAGTGTGAGAACAAGATAAGAGACCATGTCCAAGCCCATAGTGTTCGTGACAGGTAACACGAAGAAGCTGGAGGAGTTCGTGGCCATACTGGGCAAGAACTTCCCTCGGCAGATCACGAGCAGGAAGATCGACCTGCCGGAATATCAGGGTGAGATAAACGACATATGTCGGGACAAGTGCCGGGTCGCGGCGGAGGCGGTGAAAGGTCCGGTGATCATCGAGGACACTTGCCTTTGCTTCAACGCGCTCCAGGGTCTTCCGGGGCCGTACATCAAGTGGTTCCTCGAGAAGTTGGGTCCTGAGGGTCTTCACAGGTTGTTGGACGGATGGCAAGATAAATCTGCGGAGGCGGTATGCACGTTCGCCTATAGCTCCGGTGGAACTGATGCTGAGATCCAACTGTTCCAAGGTCGCACCCAGGGCACCATCGTGAGTCCACGAGGTCCCCGGGATTTCGGCTGGGACCCGTGCTTCCAACCATTGGGCATGGACAAGACCTACGCAGAGTTGCCAAAGGAGGAGAAGAACAAGATCTCCCATCGTAGTCAGGCGCTGGAGAAGTTGAAGGATTACTTCATGAAAAACGACAAGATTTAACTTATCGTATATGAATACAATGAAATTCCTAATCTCTTCTTATAGTTTTCGACTGTCTTCTTTGAACATCTTCTCTCCTGAAAACGTATTTAATTCCTTGTTTGTCGCAAAAAAAAAAAAAATGAAAAAAAGCTCTTTATTTTTTCTATATAATATAATAATTCTATATAATTCTGATTTAATAACAATTTTCTTCAGACGCATATTAATTAGGAAACAATAACTACAATATAACAAATAAATGCGAAACACATTAACTCCTTAATACAGCTAAGTGTTTTGTTCACTTGGCACTGTTAATTCTTCTCTTTCTTTTCTTCATGAAAGTTATACGTTCGCTGCAAAATATTATTGAAATCGTACTTTCACGAAAAAAAAAACATTTGAATCTTTGCATTACCACTTCGTCGAACGATAATTATCCGCTTATGTTCGTATTAAAATTTTGTGACAAAATATCAAGGAGGCATTTAGTAGCAACCAAGCTGCAATAACTCCAATCAGGATTACTGACCTTGCTACGATCGCGTTTATTATCAATTTTTAATCGGACGGGGCGAGCGTACGGCTTGTTGTTTTGTCTTCATGTTATAACTTGTTCTCTGACCTATAATGTTAACGTTCGATATCCGTTCAATTTATCAAAGGTGATTCGCCGTCGAAAATAACGCACATAGTTCGGCGTGCAACACTCGGCGGCGATATATAGCGTGTGATCGCGAAACCAACATCTGGAATTATTTTCCGGGCCGCAGAGGGAGAGAGAGAGAGAGAGAGTCTTGACGTTGATATGACGTCTTGCGCTCTGCGATCTGATTACAATCGATCGCGTGAGAAGATCGCGCGCCGCACGCCACGATTCTCCGTCTCACGCGGATCTTACGTGACGCGACAAATCGAAATATGCGACCATCTACATTGTAATCGCCCGGTGACACGATATTGTTAATCGCGCGGATACCGATACCACCCCGTGCACGAGCACTGGTAATTAAAACTGTAAATCATGTACAATAATAGCATTCCGCCGCTACGGAATCAGCGGGCCGGGATCGCCCGATTGCTTTTATTTAATGGCGCGATTACGTGCTCGTTTAAACGGTTGTGTAAACGGTAGGAACGTGGAAGAGGTAACGCGGAGAGTAAGAACAGGCTCGTGGAGGACGAAACAGATGAGATGCGCGTTGTACCGCCTGTAACGTCGATCAAAGGATTTTTTCCCGTAATTTTATTTTATTTATTTACAAAGCACTCGCACTCACAATCGTTATCGCTGATGGTGAGGGAAGATAACGTGGTGGAGTAAGGATAAGGTGTAATCAATAGATAGCTCGCGAAGAAGGTAAACCCAGGAACTAACAAAGGGATGTAATGCATCATCTTGTTCAACTTTAATTGTCAATTCAAGGATTCTTCCTTCATTTTATTTTACGGCGAATACGATTTTCAGCCTGTAACATCTTCTTTCCTCCGCACGAAAAACCAGGATTAAAGCAAGCTTTGAGATGAAAAGCCTTGAGATGCACGAATAGTCCAAAAATTAAGACTAGTATAATCGGAAAATACAATCTTCTAACATTATAATGTAATAATGCGAAGATATCAATATGTATATACATGTTGTATTTTTTCCGTTTTACACGCTGACTAACGTTTGACTCTTAAGGTCGTTCTACAATGCGTGTCGTAAATTGTAAGTCGTAAGAATTGACCAACTATAGCCGATTATTTTTGTAATAATCGACTGTGATTCGCCAATTCTTACGGCTTACAACTTACGACACGTATTGTAGAAATGACCTTTACTAGCCTATTGCGTTATTTCGTGTTATTCCTTCGTCAGGTAATTTTGCGTCAAAGACGCGATTCTTTCGCTTTCCTCCGTAACGGCGACGCTGGAACACGTCGAGCGCCACAACAGATAAATTCCGAAGTTAAACCGTCATGATTACGCGAACTCGCCGGTAAACATTCGCGAACAGTCTTTCGGTTTTCTCCTTCGGCCTTATCGAAGCGCCGATGATTACTGAATTCATTCTCGATCGCTTGCACCCGATCGCTCGGAAAAGTTGTTGATTCTCTTGAGCGCGTCCGCACTTGCTCGTCGTATCATATTCGTGACGTGAACGTATTATTTAGAGACACGGCTTAAAAAATAGCGGCCGCTACAACGGAGGTTCATCGCATCGTGATGTGTTAACCGATCAATGAGAAAAACGCTTTAACAGCGAGCGACTAGCATCTGTCGAATCCGCAGAATCGAATCCACCTTTTCATTCTCGATCGCTCTGTTCGATCAATAACAACAGGTTTTCCGCGTGTTTTGCGTCTGCGTTCTTAATATTAATGACTCACGGTCTAAAATTAATAAATGCTCATCCGCGCACTGCAAACCCGAGTGTGTGTTATTTCGACTCGTATAAGCTGAAGCTTCCTTTACGCGTATCTTGTCTTGTCTTAAATCACGTCGTTTAACGCGTTTAAACGCGTCAAGTGACACCGAAATGCATCAAATGACGTGATTTCAGACGACAAGAAATGCGTGAAGAAAGCTTCAGCTTATACGTGTCAAAATAACACACTCGGGTTTGCAGTGCGTACTCGATGTACTCGCATAGGCGTTGGCAAGCACCGTTTTCTCTCATCCGGGGGCTTTCTTCTCTTCTATTCTCCTCTCTCTCTCTCTCTCTCTCTCTCTCTCTCTCTCTCTCTTTCCTCTCGCATCTTCCTTTTCGCTTTCATCCCGGCTATTCAAGCCTCATCATTGTCCTCGCAAAGTCGATCCGCTTTGACGAGCGACGAGCTCTCTTCGCAAAACGCCTCTCATCCGGCGGCACAGGCCCATGTGATTATCTCATGATCGCCGATGCGACGCTCTCTGGATCGCAGTAGCATCTCAGGAACGCTCGACGCTCGAGCTCTTCCGGTGCGTGTGAATCACCGGGAGCGGTTACGCGCGGCGTGCATACGTGCCGAAACGCAAATACGCGATCTTGAGAATAGACGGGCGCGAATTGTGTTCTCCGGCATGAGGAAGATGGGCGTGGAATCTGAAATGAAAATGCGGAATTTTTCCGCAAGGAAACCACGCGCGACGAATCGCGCTCGCTCGCTCGCTCGCTCGCTCGTTCGCTCGCTCGCGCGCGAGTGAGCGCGGGAGCTTGATTATCCTCGCAGCGCACGCTAGTCGGATACGATCAATTATTTTCAATAATGCGCGTGTGCGTCGGTGCGCGTTAAAAAGCGCGACAGAGCCCGATGCCCGAAAGGGGTTATCTCTCCTTTGATTATACCGATGCGGTCCACCTTCTCTCTCTCCCTCTCCCTCTCGTCCCGTCTCTCGCTCTCCCTCTCAGACGTGTAACACCCTTGAGTTAAGGGGTTATCGGCTCTTGTCTACATTTGTGCATTTTGCCGACAATTGCACAGCTTGCTCCTATAAAAGCCGGAGTGCCTTGCGTACGCCACCAGTCTTGCTTCAGGGGCCATGCTATGATGAATGCCTTTAACGGTAAGTCGCTTTCCGGATGACGGCGAAGTGTCCACTCGCGCGAATTCTTCGTCTTCGATCGGATCTCGAATAACGTGCCGAACGTGCCGGATAGTGGAATAATTCGTTCAATACCGTTATTTTCCACGGGAAAGTGAAAGAGCGAACGGGGGAGAGAGAGAGAGAGAGAGAGAGAGAGAGAGAGAGAGAGAGAGAGGGAGACGGAGGGATTTTACAAAAGTTGACAGACAGTCAATGGAGTTTCACATTTCTTTGCAAGATCCTCGGCTTTGTTTCTTATTCTTTACGAATTTTGTTTTCTATGTATTTCGTTCTTACGTATTACATGCATTTTCTTTTTAATTTCTTACGTTTAACGCATGATATTAATTATGTTTCCAGCATTGTTGCTGTGTCTGACGGCCGCGTGTGCGGTGCCAGGTAAGTTGCACCTCGTTGAAATCGTTTGCCGATGAAACGTCGGGACGGATTTTTCGCGGGAAACGGATTAAACGAGTGTTCGACGAACGAACGCGATTTAATGTTGCGTTGCTTATGTTGCTATTATGCTGCTCACACGCGCGTTCGTGTTATGTTATTTAATGATTTCTCACACTACGAGGTACTCGGGAAGGAAAAACCGTAGAAAATATCGGAGTAGTTTATCTGCGTCACGACGTATTTCTTTTTCCTGATGACACGCAGCTCGGGAAACGCGAGTGTCAAGGCCGGAAATATTGAGATCGTTTTCCTGAAGGGGCCTTTCAATCAATTCTGCTCACCAATCAACTACGTCGCGCGGATCCGAAACGGACATCCGTCGCGCGACACTGTGCATAATGCAAGAATCATACGATAGAGCGCAGAGTTCTCAACATCAATCGAATGCAAAAGTCGGCTCAGCGTCATCCGCGACTCGTAACGACTCGTATCGACCTGCGTAATCGACGGAGCGCGCGTTTGCTGTAATCGTCGAGCAATTAACATGTACCTGAGGAGGATGTAGGCGCGGAGCTTGACCGGTTTGCGGGCCGGAGATCGGTTTGCGAGTAGTAGTACACTCGCGAAAATATTCTATTCCAGTGCACTTCCCTATTGAGAAAACTTTGATTTACAAGTACCATGCCGACGTGAAAGCCGGAATTATCGAGCCGGCGCAATATGCCTCGCAGTTCGCTCTCTCCGGACAGCTTCACATAAAGAAGGACGTCAGCGATTCGACTTTGAACAATGCCTACTATGTCAAACTGCAAGACGTGAAATACGGCATGCACAATGGCATGGCCGTGGATCACCAACCGGTCGAAGTGGTTCATGAGCTCGATGAGACCGCGCAGCAGATCCACGACCCGTTCTTGATCGTCTACGACGACGAGAACGGCAAGGTAAGGGCACGAAGAGGCGAGAAATCAGGCTGAGAATCAATCGCGGGGACTGCGGGTCGTTTGTGCGGAGGACGTTTGTCACTCGCCTCGTCTGTTTCTCGATTCAGTTCCAGGGCATCAAAGTGCCGGAGACCGAGAGCGGATGGTCACGGAACATCAAGCAGGGTATCGCCTCGATGCTGCAGCTCGACCTGTCGCAGGTCCAACTGCAAACCCCGATGAAGAAGCACGCTTTCGTCACGACCGAGGTAGGTAACGACTGATGGGAACATCCAACGAAACATTTCTAGTGTTCTCTTTGGTTGTTACCACTAGAACACCATCCATGGCACCTGCCGCGTCGCCTACGATGTGCACCCGGTGCAATCGGGAACCACCAACGTCTTCGTGGTCACAAAACTGCACGATCTCAAAAACTGCAGCCATTTCGTTCAGCGTGTTTTCGACCATGACGAGTGCGAGAAATGCCACGTGGAGTCGGTAGTAAGTACTTCGTACTTCAAGTTTTCTATCTTTATGCACGGGTGATACTCCTCGATTAACCGACGATGCTTTGCTTCTCGACAGGACGACATGTCCGCCGCCGTTAGGAGAGTCTTCCAGATGGAGCAACAGGATGATGGAATTCTCATCAAGCACTTGGCCGCCCACTCGGTCATCAATTACCTCCCCTACAACGCTCGATCTGAAGCTCATCAGCTCTTGACCAAGTAATCCTTCACGCGATAATGATCATATACCCTGTGAAATTTTATTGATTCTGCTTGCTTGCTACTAATTCTACTTACTTCTTTACCAGCACTACCTTGAGTTTGGAAAATGTGGTGCCGACGACCGAGACCCACTTGCCGGTCGTAAATTTCCAGAGCGTGCCTTTGGTGCGTGATGTGACCTTTAACAAGCCCATAAGAAATTACGCTATTCATGCCGCGGAGGATCTCACTCACGGTCGACATATCGTCAAACTGGATATGCTGATCCCCAAACTCAAGAAGATGTTGGCCGAAGCCGCCGATTACCTCGACGAGAATCACTTGGAGGCTAAAGAACCCGACTGGAAGCACGGACAAACCATCAACCGACTGCAGCATACCATGAGCTACATGGACTTGGGTTCGTTGGAGCAGGTCTTCAATACCATTCAAGATCCGAAGACTCCTAAGGAAGTCACGATAAAGTGAGTGTGATACATTCGATTTTAAAATCGACTATTAACGTCGACTGAGCGAGAGGCTAACGATTCGTTGTGACTTCGAAGGAACATCTTCCTGCAAATGATCCCGACCGCCGGCACCACCGCCGCTTGCCACTTCACACGAAACGTCATTCGCAAGCACAAGGTGACCGACGTAACCGCCGTAAAGATGCTGGCGAAGCTGCCGATGTACGTAAAAGTACCGTCCGAGAGATTGCTCTTGGAAATGGAAGATCTGTTGAAACTGGACAACATAGTGTCGCCGCAAATCCACAAGGCCAGCATCCTCTGCTTCTCTACTCTGATTCACAAGACGTTCATGCACCAATTCAACGAAATCGTCAATCCTCTGCTTAGCAGATACCTTCAGCGTTTCTTTGACCATGTGAAAAGTAAGTTGAGGGGGACTCGTACGACAAATGAATTCTAATCCCTGAGATTTGCGACTGCCTACTTGAAGAGGACTTCGCAAGTTGCCGACTAGCTCTGCAGTCTGCGTCGGGTGGGTTTAACCGTTGCTCGATTTTTCGAATATTTCAGACGACCAATCGTACGAGATGAAGATAGTCTATCTAATGGCGATCAAGAACGTCCAAGTGGGCAACATCGAGAAGCTTTTGGAGCCGATTATCCGCGGCGACATCATGGTGTCCGAGCATCCGCACCACATTCGTGTACAGGCGATCTGGGCCATCAAGAAGGCCGTCGCCGACAAAGTCGAATACACCCACAACTTGCTCTCGCCTATCCTCGCTGACATCACCCAACCACTCACCATCAGGATTGCGGCTTATGACGTGTTGATCAGCCAGCTACCGAACATGCAACGAATGATGAACATGCACTGGCTCATGTCCTACGAGCAGAACAGTCACCTGTACAACTACCACCTCACCACGATGAAGGGTCTCGCCAACTCCGTGGACCCTTGCCTCAGGCCAATTCGCGAAATGGCTAGGAAGATAATGCGTTACACGAAGATCAGGCCGATCACCACCCCATTATCGGCCAAGCACTTCTACGATTATGTCGATCCTGTATACGAACACGGCAAATCCTGGACTAATGCGTTGGTCTTGGAGGAAGTTACTGGTCTGCCGCAAGCAGGATATGTAGAGCTTCGCACATCGGTCGCTCGCAAACCCGTCGAAAAGATTGGCGTAAGTATACGGTACATACAACACGGTAATGCTGTAATATGATATTGACTTGATGTGAAACCTTCAATATACGAAATATCAACGAAACTCAGGCAACACAAACTGTTAAAGGATGTCTTTGGGACGTTGAAAAGATGTTTCACTTTTTTAAAACATCTCTTAAATATCTTTAAGACGTCTTTTAGAACTTTGCGTTGTCTGGAACATTTTCCGAAGGAAAATCTTAATGTTCCTATTCGGATTTACATGTAATCCGATCTTTATTTAGAGCACGGAAATAATAACACTCACATTCGGACGGAACTTTTCCAGATCTACTGGAGCGCCCAAGGCGTCGACGAGATCATGAAGATCCTGAAGAAAGAGTTGCTGGGCGGCAAGATCGAGAATCTCACCAACAGGAATGTGCAGAACATCCTGAACCGCGCCGCGCACGACATGCCCGTTAAGAAGAACATCCACGTCGACATCTGCATCACGCTGCACGGTCACGTGATCATTGCTAACCACTACGACCGCACTCACATCAGCAAGTTGCCAGAGGAACTACTGCACGCCGTGAAACAGGCCGTCGGCAACCTCCAATATATCGACTACGATACCCTCTTCGAGATGCAGGTACCTACTGACATGGGTCTGCAGGCGGTCTTCAGCACTAAGATGCCGCACCTGTGGTCGTTGAGGTTCAACAATGTTCACACCGACACCCAGAACCCGTCCATCAACATGAAGTTCGAGGTTGACTCGCGTCTGTGGAGACACGGCGAGTACGTCATGTCCGTCTACAACCCGATCGTCGACGTCTGGCACTCGATACGCAAGTCCACCACCCAGGACGTCGCACTGCCGTTGGAAATGAGTATCAGCTACAATCACGAGGCCAAGAGTATCAAGATCAGTATGCCGAGATTGCCCGCCACTAAGCTGTCCTACAGTGGAATGCGATACCACGCGAAGAACCTGGTAACCATCACCGAGGACGAGCAGGACGTGCTCAAGAAATGCTGCTCCAACTGCCAGCATCATACGGTCGTCACTACCGGTGAGAAGAAGATCCATCACTTTGCCGTAGACTCCAGAGACATTGGTCTCAAGTATATCACGTCGATCTTCGACTGCGAGAGCGGCGTCACGCCGACCTCCAACGCTAAAGAATTTGAACGTGCGTTCTCTCCGGAACATAAGAATACTGGGTAAGTCGATGCTACCGAGCTACTGTGACATTCCGCTTGCATCGATTTCTAATTCGATTCGATCTTCCTCTTCTTGTTCCATCAAGTTAATTTCGAAGTATTTTTCCTTCAAGTGATTATTCCATTTGTCGACATATTTCTATTTGGAAGGCACTTTTCCCATATCGACACCTACTTAGTAAATTGAAATGCAATCTTGAAACAAAGAACTTTTGATTTGATTACTTTCGATGATCGATGCAAGTTTTCGTAAAGCGATCAGCTCTAGTGGACCTGGAAGAAATCCGTCGAAGCAATGCAATTCTCACTCTTCAATTTGCTCGATAGGAACTTGAAAAGATTGCAATATTTCATGGGCATCCATCAGAAATTGTACAATGATTACATCTCGCCGGATATGGGAAGCTGCGGACGTCTGATAAAGATAGAACCGAGCATCGTCTATCCCACGTCTCACGTGAGTACATGAAGATTCCGACCAAAGACAGATATCAATCTTCACTCTTCTTCACTTCTTTTTCGTCCTTCTTCTGCAGGTCGAACTGAACCTACGAGTCAACATGGATGACGTCGATCACATTTACGACAAGATGCACATTCTTAACGGCAAGAAGATCAACATTCGCGGCACCCTTGACGCTAAAGCGGCCTCCACGAACGCATCTGTACGCTCATGGGACGTAAACATGAATGTCGACATGTCTCAAGGACACTTGGTCAACAATGTCAAGATTCAAGTGACAAGAGTGACACCAGGAGAGAAGAAACTCAAGGTACTTCTGATCATTTCGGTTCAAACTAATGATAACCTAGCGATCGATCGAATCGAACAGCGAGATGACGAATGCTTTCTAGATCTGCGTAGACGCTCAGAAGAACTATCCGGACACGCAAATCCCCTACCCGAAAGTCAGTAACAGCAAAGTGGAGACCAACACGAAAATGACCATCAGCGCAGGCTACACGGACGAGGACAAATGCGTTCGCGACGAGATGCTGATCATTATGACGATGAAAGGCGAGATGACGGAGGAGCAGAAGAACCAACTGGCGCATGACAACGTGCACGGAGCCTGCGTCAAGGACATGACAAACCCACAGTTCGTAGAGAAGGAGAACCACATTCCAAAGACCCAGAACTGCATCCATGAGACCGTACTGTACACGACCATGAGGAAGTACACCATCAACGCATTCTACAAGAAGGTAAACCTGAAGAAGATGCATGACATGAATCACGTCGTTGCCACGTTCTCCTATCATTATGTTAACGTTAACGGGCTTTCAGCTACCTGTGGGAATATACTCGTACCTTGCCATGATCGACGACCACTTCCGCGCCACCCACTTGTCGCACGTGCAATACCTCACCGAACGTGTCGAGAGCGGCAACGCGAAGATCGTCATCGAATTTCCTTCTGATATGAACTACATCAATGCAACCGTCATCACTCCGGTTAATGGATACGAATACATCCAGATTCCGCTGCATCCCCAACACGAAGCCCTCTTCGAGGGCGTGTTGATGGAAAAACCGGCACATTCGGGCTGGCATTATGTCACGGACAACACTCATTTCTCTGCGCCCGTCTTGAACAAAGTGACGCAAGAACTGATCAGTAAGTCGCTATATGCGGGTGCATATAGTGTTAAATTTTCTTTTCAACGCTAATGCTTATTTCAAGGCAAGGTAGATTAAATTTGAAACTTGCTTCTCGCGTTTGTTCCTCCGCGTATGAGCGTCCCTCTCCCCCCCGTCTTCAGGAAAATTTTCTATGTTTTATATGTTTTCTATAACCTCGTGGAACATGAGATTTCTCAGGATGGGAGAAGAGATGCTTTTGCAGATAATTTCTCTCATATATTTAATTTTCTACAATTAGACATTCTCTCATAGAGAATCTCTGATTATTAAAAGAATGAGCAACAGTTTCACTGAGCGTGCGCTTCTCTTCTTCCCGCAGAAATTTGCACCGTCTACCCGCAGGTCTTGATTACCTTGGACAACGGCTTGATTCCATTCACGGTGCCTGACCAGTGGACCCTTGTGTCCGGCGATCACGTCGACCAGACGTACGCTGTCTTCATAAAAAACGTACAACCTAACACGATCGCTGTGAAGGTTTACGTCGCTGGTCATGAGATAGAGATCATACCGTCCAGCCCGAGTCATATTGTTACCGTCGACGGCAACATGATCGACCAATACGAGAAGGGAGTGATGGTGCCTGAGGACGAATCGAAGTCTTACGCGTTCAAGTGAGTGATCTCGCGAATGATCCGTTGCTCGAATCGATCAGTTCGAAAAGTTTCGATCATAACCGAATGCATCTGCTCGTAGGCTCACCGTGCACAACGAGCACCTTGTGGTCCAGTCGCAGCGCGTACCGGTGATGGTACTGTGGACTCCCAACAGCGTGAGCGTGATGGTGGAGACCGTGCTGCAGGGTCACGTGACCGGCGTATGCGGACACATGGACGATACGCACAAAGAGAGAATGCCCAAGATTTATACTGGCACGCATCTTTAAATCCTAATTGAATCGCACGCGGAGCCCATTTTTCCGTTTTTTAGGACGGTCTATAGGAAGTCCTATATATATACTAATACTAATACTAATTTTCTGAGTTTGCCGACGTAACTCTCCGCAAACGCAAATCTCTGTTCGATAACTAGAAACACAGCCAAACGGCAATGTAGAAGAAGCAAAAAGAGAAATAACATACAATAAATCTTTATTTTTTAATTTATACGCATATAAGTTCTAAAGATCCTTCCGACGGCTAAAAAACCTCGGCCAATTGTTCAATTATTATTGTTTTTTATGCACAACAAATACCGTGATGAAATGTGTTGTTGTTGCGAAATGTCATCAAGACGTCGTCGCGTTACTTGGAATATCGATATTTATTGATATACGTTGAGTCTTCATTCGGTAATCATCGACGTGACACATTGCGTTGATATACGTACAAAATGCTATTAATAGTTTCGCAAGAGTTGCGCATATTGCGGCTCGGTACTCGATTCGGCGAGATAATTTTGCGATTTGCAAAATATTGCATTCACTTCAAAGCGATATCTGCCATGTTTTTTGTAAAGTTCATCGCGATCCGTGCAAACTGTCAATGTGTTAATCAAATTAAAGATATTTTTTATCAATATTTCTCGTGCATCGGAGGTACACTTTGATATTTGATGCTGCGTGTTGAAACAGTTTATCGGTATCAAAATACGGTAAATAACTATCGATTATTTTGAATAAAATATTAAATTTATGTTCACTACAATAGTCAGTGTATAAGACGGCGATGAAAACAACTTCGCCTTCGTGGCGCAATCGGCTAGCGCGTTCGGCTGTTAACCGAAAGGTTGGTGGTTCGAGCCCACCCGGGGGCGTGTGTTTTTTTTATTGCGTTATTGTTAATTATAGCAATAACCAAATTATCTTTGTCATAATGCTTTTGACGATGACCTCGCGCAAGCGCGAATACAAAATTTAGTTAATATTAAACAAATATTTTATCGAGCGACGTTCGACGAGTAGGCGGACATTTGAAACGACGTTGATGTTACTTACGCGATATTTTAATGCATATTAAACTTATAAAACTGTTACGATAGCGACAATGTGTGATATACTCTTTTGCAAAATAATGCAATTGCATGTCTTTGAACACATTTTTGTGATTTCGTCAATTGCCACTTTTAAAACCGCCGCGCGAGGTTCCACCGATCTGCCGTGTCGCCTTCATCGTCTCCATTTTCGAATTATTGCGGTATCCATTTTCTTCTTATCATCACAGTCGCCGCGTGAACGCCGCACGAGGAGAAAACGATTATTTCAATCCCAAAGCCACGATTTATTACGTAAGTAATAATTGTCCCGCTATAAGTCGATTGTCCCACTATAAGAAACTGCAATAAACTTTAATCATAGCCTCATCTTACGACAGTATATAATGAGAATGTGCGAACAATATTAAATTAAGATAATAAATGTCCGGCTTAACCGGTTGAACTATACTCCATTTAAGGAATACAATGTAGTATGCAGTTATAGAGCGTAGTGTGTGTGTTGTGATTAAAATTTATACATATTATTCAGTTTCACCAAAGAATCCATGTAAATGAGTTTCTTACCATCGAGTTTTAGGTTAGGTCAATGTCAGGAAACTATCAGGCAATAACTGTCATGATATTACATCCAGTTACATCATCTATTGTATTACTTTACATATATTGTTTTATGTTTACAGCTAATACATATTTAAACATGGCAGCCCAGTTCTTTAACCGAATAGGTCAGCTTGGCCTAGGTGTAGCTCTCGCAGGTGGTGTTATTAACTCGGCACTATACAATGGTAAGTCTAATCGTTATCTTCTTTTATATATGACAATTAGTTTTAAAATATTTTTCTGAATTAATACAATCATCTTTTTTATAGTTGATGGAGGACATAGAGCTGTTATATTTGATAGATTTGCAGGAATAAAAAATGTTGTGGTTGGGGAAGGAACACATTTTTTCATTCCTTGGGTGCAAAAGCCAATCCTATTTGACATCCGTTCACGACCGCGAAACGTTCCAGTCATTACAGGAAGCAAAGATTTGCAAAATGTAAATATTACTCTCCGTATTCTCTTCAGACCTGTACCAGATTCATTACCTAAGATATACACAATCCTTGGTGTGGACTATGATGAAAGGGTACTGCCATCTATCACTACTGAAGTGCTGAAAGCTGTTGTCGCACAATTTGATGCTGGTGAATTAATCACGCAAAGAGAAGTTGTGTCTCAAAAGGTCAGTGAAGAACTAACAGATAGAGCTTCGCAGTTTGGCCTTATTCTGGATGATATCTCTCTTGTAAGTGCATGGATATTACATTTCATGTTAATGCTTACATATATCTTGAATAATTTAAGTACACTCTAATAATTGAATTTGAAATTCTTTCAGACACATTTAACGTTTGGTAAAGAGTTTACCCAAGCTGTAGAATTGAAGCAAGTGGCGCAACAAGAAGCTGAGAAGGCTCGTTTTTTGGTAGAAAAAGCTGAGCAACAGAAGAAAGCAGCTATTATCAGCGCTGAGGGTGATGCGCAGGCTGCAAGTTTATTAGCAAAGTCCCTCGCTGAAGCGGGAGATGGTCTTGTCGAGCTCAGGAGAATCGAAGCTGCAGAAGACATTGCGCACAACTTATCCAAATCGCGACAAGTGGCGTATCTGCCGCCAGGCCAAAATGTGCTGCTCAATTTGCCACAGTAGAATGAAAAACTGGTACAGTGTATCAACGTAAATTGTGCATTTACATACAATTGGAGAGTATGATACTGTAATAGAGTGTAAAAAATGCATATGGCAGAAACTTCCCCGAAAGTGTTGCATAGCAGGAATATATAGTATTTCATAACATTTATTACGTTTTCAGCCATGAATCTGCCTCCTTTTAAAAATGCATATGTTCCTATTCCTTTAACTATTGGGGAAACGTTTAACTTTAAATCATTGTTTAACGTTCAGTGCTCGCCGCGTATTTTTGTAACATTGTTGCTGGGTGCAATCCATCATCAGTGAACTACATTAACGACATATATAATGCAGTACAAATTTAATGCAAACAATAAAACGATGCCTTTTCTTATAGTTACATAAGAAGTGAAATTTGTGTCTTGAACGATTGTTCTTTCAGCTAGATGGTTGCACATGGTCCAGAGAGCAGAAATATATTGGATATGTAGCGATTCGTTCCACCCAAAAATATAGAAAGATTATGTTTATTATTGCATCTTATCATATAGTTGATTCTTTATCCTGCAGTTCTTACATTGTTGAGTTAAACGTTGTTTCTTTCAGTATGCAGCTCATACGAGACGTTCTTACACTCTTTTATTTGTTCCTGTTCAATTTTTAATTTTTAATAAGATTATTGTAATAATTTATACGTTCGGCAGAATTGGAATGAAACGGAGAAATCAATTTTCTATTGCTAAACCAAACTCGACATTGTTTTTAAATGTGTGATAAGGAGAAAGTTCTTGGACAGAAAGATGATCTGGCTCGTTCGTTCCGGACGAACCGTTCGGATGAGCCGTCCGATGAACTGCCATGATCAATCGAGGAAGTCGAAATTGGTGGAAGATTATCTCGGTCGGGGTGCCCGCGTCTCGCCTCTGTCGGCACAGGCTGTTAATAGAGAAAACAATTCATCATAATTTGGCGAGCACCGCGGGGCGCCCGTATACCTTGGTGGTCCGCGGTAAAAATGTAAAATATACACGGTGATGTTGGTTGCACTTACACGTGTTCTGGTGTTACCGGGTTATCGATTAATATCCCCACAGATTCATTACATATCTACCAGGACAGCGGATAATTAACGAGCGCGCTCGTCCTTTTTTTGGGACCCTAGCAACTCGATGCTTTCCGACTTTTTGTAAATGATCGAAGCATTGAGCGATGCATCATTTTATGATATATTACGATATATTGATAATATTTTACTTTATATGTTATACACTAATTTCTCGAAAATTCTTTATAAACTAATGTAGAAATATTTTAATTTACCCGCGTATTTTTTTTTTTACATATAGTCAATAAGAGAGTTACGGTTTCCGCGGAAAAGAAATATAGACCGGGTTGCAGAATAACAAGTAAAGTTGATAGCTGATCTATGAGAGCTGTAGTGTGAACGTGTACAATTTATCTAAAAATTTCTCAAACAAAACGTTAATATGTTCAAACATGTCAACATTTTATTTAAGGGCAGGTATCAACTTTATCTTAACAGGAGATCTCGTGCGACTTTATCAAATCTGAAGATACCAGACGCATATCAACTAGCACGTGCCATTGCTTCATAGTTGCGTCGCACTATAATAATATAATTTGCGCAAAGTGCTCTCTCTCTCTCTTTCTCTCCCTCTCCCTCTCTCTCTCTTTTGTTCTCTCTATGGAGAGACGCGAGTGAGAACGAGAAAGAGAGAGAGAGAGAGAGAGAGAGAGAGAGAGAGAGAGAGAGAGAAAGGAGGAACAGGACGAGAGAGCACCAAGGAGGGTTTGCGGTGGCAGCAGCACGAGGCGAAAGCAGATTAGCGTGAATAATGAAGACACGACCCCGTGAAAGCCTAAGCGGGCCTCCTTAAGTCTGTTCCTTCGAGTAGAAGCCGAAGCCGGAAAGGAGGGATGCTGGGAGGGAGGTGAGGCGGACAGAAAGGAGGTAGAAGCAGTTAATTACTCCTCCCATCCACGGGATAACGACTTCCCCTTATTTGTCGAGAGGCGCAAACAGCCAACCCTCTGCGAAATCCCTCGCCAAGACGCTTTCTCCACTGTATACACATATATATTTGGCTTCATATATATATATATATATACACATACATATACATGTGCATCCATATTTGCATGTACGCGCGTCTAACACGTGTAACACAAACTCTGTATGTGTGTGTGCACGCGCGTATTACGCGCATAAGGTAGACACGTCGAAAAACCCGGTCCATTTTGGAACCCTTGAAACCTCGTATCAACCGACCGCTCGTTGATCGATCCAGCGATCGATCAATCGATCGTTCAGTCGGTCGGCCGGTCGATCGGTCTCACGACGAGGTAAGTCCGACGCTGTCTCGTTACGTCGCGTACGAAGCTGCAAGCTGCAACTTTACTCCGAGATGGATCGGATGTAGGACACATCGCTAAGACGATTGCAAGAGCGCAGGACGTTTCGCGGGAGGTATACGGTACGCCCAAATGATTTCAACGCTGATGGACTTATGCACGCTCTTTGGCGCTCAAACGTTGGGTGCAACGCGAGCGACAAGAACGCGAGGTGATTCATGCGAAAGGAGTCAGTTTATGAAGTGACATCGACGTAAGAATATACGAGCGAAGCGTTAATTTAGACGTAAGGTAAGGAATTCATCGAAGAGAAATATCGCAGCCGTCTGACCGTAATACATCTTACAACACATTGACAGGTTACAATAAATTGACGTGGCAAATTTCGAGATTTGCTACTTCGATTGCTCGCGAATATCGGGGGGCTGTAGAGCTAGTAGGTACAAAGCCGAACACAGCCGAAGAAGCCGCGGCGGAAAAAGCCGAACCGTGTACCGACTATAACCTCTCCTCTTCACCGCCAATTAGCCTTTCCCCTTCAGGAGCTCCCTTCAGGAGGACGCTTCGTCCAGGTATTCTTGCGTCAATGATAATAACTGATTAGCTCGGATTAACTCGTCGTTTGTCCGTACAACTCGTCCCGAGCGTGATGCGCACGTCCGTGTTCATTCCTTCGCTGAACTTTTGCTCAAGCGACGCATATTCTTCCGCCGAAAAAGGTTCATCCCAGTCGCGGGCAAGGCGAGGCAGGCGCAAAAAGTCGCGTCGTCAACCGCCGCGGCGTTCCTCGGCCGCAGGAGAGTCAAGGAGGGCCCATCGACAGCTCTACGCCGGAGGACGACGCGGTGCGGTGGTAGCAGCGGCACATGTTACCGGGGCCGCGCATGCAACGAAACAAATGTTAGGTACGCCCGAATACACGGTATATACGAGAGACACGGGAGCGAGAGAGAGACTAATTACGAAAGAAATCATAATAGGCGCACATGCACCGCGGGCTGTCGGGCTAACGATCGGGCTTCCTCCGCATCTGCACCTGTTACCTCGTGGATCCTATGGTCGTGCCACGGTGCACGCGAGCCGCATATGCCGACGGCCTTCCTTCGAGACAAACCGCCCGAGGCCGTCCCGGTCCTTCTCCCCCCCCCCCCGCTCCCATAGATCCCGATCGTCCGCAGGGGTGAGTTTTTATCCTCGAGATCCACCGACTTCTCGGCGAGATCTCGCGAGAGAAGAAGACGAAAAGAAAGAAGCGAAAAGAGGCACCGATCGACCGTTCGGAATCGATCTCGCAAAAGAAGCGGCGCACGGAAGGACGGAGCGCACGGAGAAAAATGTTTGGTCGGATTAACGCGACAGTGTGAACGAGCCGGACGCATTTCGACCGAAGGGACCTGCATTTCTGGCTCTTGCGGACGAAATTCAGCCGTGAGAATGAGCGATTCTGTTTCCTTCGATCGAAACGCACGCGTCCGATTCGCTCATTGTCGCATCAATTCGCCCGAACTCTTCCCTCCGCGCCGAACTTGCGTGCGAATTCCATTAGTAAATCCGTACGAGTGCGTTATCTGTTTTGCAATTAATATACTCTCTCTCTCTCTCTCTCTCTCTCTCTCTCTCTCTCTCTCTCTCTCTCTCGGCATCAACGCGTTATCACGCTGGCGTAAATCACGGGGGATCGTGTACTTGAAGTAGCGACACACACGCGCGAAAACTCTCGGTGCCGGGCACTATTACTATTAGCGGGTCCAGACGCCGCCGGGTCGGCTATCGCGTGTATCACACATCTCGACGCGATTAGTTATTAGACATGCGAGTAGCTACATCATCGATATTAATGGCAGTGAGTGGCGGGCTATAAAATTTCCATCGATTAGAAGAGGTTCGCCGGGGCGCGCGAAACGCGCTCGCACAGCCTCGCGGGCTCGCGCTCGTTCGCGCGCACGCGCGCGCGCGCGCGCGTTCCCTATCTCGCCGCAGCTCGTAATCGTAATTAACATCTCGACCGTTCCGTTTTACTGTGTTACTCCGCTTAGGCGAGTCCCATCGTGGAGTCGCTCACGCACGACGAGTCAGCGTAATAACGCTGCCGCTTTGAACTGACCACGACGACGAGATAAACGGCGGCGAGCAGCGGTCCCGCTCGTTACAGAAACCTCGTTAATTAAGGCGGAAAACGCGCGAGCGAAAACCGCCCGTCCGCCCGCTCGACCGACCGGCCGGTTGGCTGCTGCCGGCCGCGCGTTGCGCTGCGCCTAAGGCTACGAACAATTTCTTTTTGTCCGATACGCAGTCCGAAGGGCGCGCGGAACCGACCGACTCGCTATTTGCATTAATGCTCCTGACGACGACGAAATTGGATGAACCGCGATTTTAAATATGCCGGCCGCTCGGCGTTCGTCTCCGCGCATTCGACACTCGGCTCTTCCCATTCTGCCGACGAGCCGTGCGTATGATTACTACTTTGTCCGTCATTCTCGAGTAATCAACGTCGGACATTTACGTTCACGCACCGCGATGCCCCGCCGCGCTAATCGTCGTTCAATAAGAGGCAAACGGAGCAGAGCGAAAATGCGTTACCGTTATAGTGATGAAAGTTGAATTGAGAATTAAATTGCGGGTAAGTGCGTGATATTTTCCACGCGACGGCGTCGGCCTTGAAATTTGGTTCCACGATGACCCGGCGAGTTTTCCTTCAGGCTCCAGAGGCTAATGGAGGATCGCGAGGTAACCCGAGACGAAATTTTGCCTGTATGTTAGCCCTGCAAATACCGTCAAACTTGAAGGATCGATACAGAAGATCGCGAGATATAACACTGTACAGGCCATTGTTCTACGCTTCGGCGCTGCAAATGGTTGCCGGCTGACGTTTTCTATATGTGAGAGTTTTGAGTGTATGAGAGTACGAGGAGTTCTTCAAGAATTATTTGATATTCGATTGTCTCAATATTTTATCTGCATTCTATTTTTGTTCTTAATTCTACGATATTATCTATATTATCAATTTCATAATAATTGCATAATGTA